ATAATTTAACCAACACAAGTTCACTACCAAGCTAAACCACTATAATTTAGTAAAGCTTGCTCTCCCAGGTAGTAACACCACCTCCTTTGCTAAGCTGAAAAGGGAAGTAGATTTTCGACATTTCATTTTGCAAATCCTTTGATTTGGAAAAATTTTATTACAAAGTTCACTTCGAGATCATTTACTCATTCGTCCGTTATAGAACCTCACCTGGATTGTTCATTTTCTGCTGAAAAAATATTACATTTCTGATTTGAGAAATTCATGTAACTGCATTTTTTTAAAGATCGAAAAATATTTTTATTTCAACTTGCGCACTGCCAATGATTACACGAATTCACAAAATCCATCCACAACCAATGAACAATTCCCTAAAATCAAATTTACGCATATATAATATATTTAATATGTCAAAATACTTTAAAATATAATAAAATGTATATTGATTTTATTAATAAATAGATTTATCAATAACTTTCTGGAATAATTACATTAAAAAAAGTATACATTATATTCAATCAAATTTACAAAGTTATCTCACACGTATATCTAACTTAGAATTTGCGACTTTTCTTAATCAGGAACAAAATTATTCATTACTATCTAAATATTTTCTTTGTTATTTTCTCACGATTCTTGTTTGCGAATAAAAATTATAAATGAAAGCGAAATGACTGTTTATTAACAATACTGTTAAATACCGATTTTATACGATCCATAATGTATTTCATAAAAATATAAAAAACCAGCCAACTTCTGTTCAGTCTTTCTCATTTTTCATCTTTAAGTGAAATCAATTAAAATGAATTCATTTAATTTAATTTGAGAATCATGCTCAAGGATTCAACCAAAATGTAAATTCCTGATATTTTTGTTTTTAAATGGAACATATGTAAATGTACTTTTTTTATCCCAGGAAGTTGGTGTCAGCAAATTTGACTTTATAACAGTTTATTTCCAAACCCATTTTTAAACAAAATGTATTAGAATTACTAAATGTGTCTCGAAAATCACAAGTTGCCAATTATTCCAATTCTCAACTCTCCACCAGCTATTATCAATTCAAATTTAAATAATCAACGCTCAATGTCAATAAACATAAATTTCACGACTACAATGATAAAAAATTAATGTAAATTCCTTTTGGAGATAAAAATTTATATAATTTTTAAAAAATTGCATTTTGGATTACATTGAATCGTTCAAATTTAATTGTTTAATAAGCAAAATATTCAATTTTTAATTCCAAAAAAAGCCGATAAATAATTAAAAAGCATAATATGAAAAAATATAATAGAATTTCTTTAACAGAATCACTGTTTTTTTGTTTAGAAATGAAAGGTGAAATATTTAAATTTTTTTTAATTTAATAAAGTTTAATAGAATTTGCATTAACATATTTGTATATTTGACTTATTTATTCGTTGGTTGCTTGTTTTGTTATAATTTTTGTAACGCCCAGTAAAAATGTGTAGAATTCTATATAATAGAATGAAAATGAAAAAATAATGACCAAGAGAAACGTAAAAAACCTGAATAGTTGGAATAATTTCGAAATTAAAAGAGATGTTTTAGTAGATAATAATTATCATAATTGTTTGCAAATATTCATTTTTCTTTCCCTGGTTTATAAAATGTATGTTTGAATAGAATGGAATCGAATGTCATAAGTATTCTCCAAGTTTACCATATTTTAATTGCTAAACTCTGCACAATGTAAAATTTCACAATAAAGTGACTTATATCTACCAATTTCTTAAATATTAATCTCTCTTTATGCGCGAAATGCCAAAAATAGATAAACTATTCGTAGTAGGAGGTTATAGTTATTATTTATTTTGTTGGATTTGTATTTAGTGTGGTTAGATATTTTTTTGATAATTATTATAATATTATTTCTTATAAAATAAATTATATGCAATTCATAGGAAGAAACTTACTCAGGATGCCAACTTGCATATTTTTTTCTTTAGTGCAATGATAATTTCACTAGCGTAGATTTGGAGAAATTATTAATACCTCTTAAGACTTTATTTTAATATTTAAATCGTACATTTGCGGTATCTAATGGTCGGGTAAACGTTTGTTCAAATTTCACTCCTCATTCTTTATTACGTCAAATTATCGTAGATAATTAATACTTTATTGTGTTATATAATATTTAATACATTTATCAAGTTAATAAAATAAATATGTGTGGATAAATATAATAAGAAAAGTATAGTAATAAAAAATTATCGATGTTATTTAAGATCGGGGACTATGATTATTAAAAAAATAAATCCATTCTTAATTTTTAGAATCGCGATAATCATGAGGAAAACTATTTACAAATGAGAAATTATTCACTTGAGTGGAACCATTTGTAAAAGAGAAATCATTCGATTGAAGTGAGCTATTTGTAAAAGAGAAATTATTCACTAAATCATTCAGTTGAAGGATGTTATTTGTTTGGGAGTAACTTCCCGGATGAATTGTCCCTGAACAATTTTCATTTGATTCAAGGAAATTATTAGAATTGGATGTTTCAATTCCCAATCCAATATTCGTAGTATCTTTTTCTATTTTTTAATTAATAAAATAATCAATAAAATAGATTGATGAATAGTGAATATAATGAATACAAATTTAACTTACTGGGTCTCCCTCTTTTTTTATGAGAGTAATATTCACATTGAATACCGGTATTCATACATCTTTCACAAGTGTACCCAATGTCGGGAGTATTACATTTCTTTTTTTTCTTATGGCAAGAATTACACGCATGTTTAGTTCTCTCCATAATTAAAGAAAGGATGGTAAAAATGAGGAATAAGATGTGAAAGAAGAGAAGTAAAGCATTTTATAGCTTTTTTGAAATTACCCACGAAGAAAATCTCCGCGTGAGTTAATATTGGAATTTTTTTTTTTTTGAAATTGAATTGATATACAATTCTTGGATATCAAAATATTTACGTTTGAAATCTCCAATTAAAATTTTCCCCTCGAATTCCGAATAACTATCTAGAATATTCTTCAATTGGTATAAAACTCATTGTCACACTGGGAAAAATTACATAATCAACCCGGCGGTGATCTTTAGCAATGAAAAAATGAATTCTTTAATGACGCTTTAGAATTCTTCAACACTTTTTAACAGCCATCAATGTTTCATAGCAAATTTACTTTTCCACCATCTATAGTATTAAACACTAAATTAGAACTCGGAAGTTATATTTTTTAAATATTTAAAATAAAATGAACGTATACTATATTATATAAATATTATATAAATATAGTATATATAAAATACATGCTTAATTTTAATTCATTTTTAAATGATCGACGAAGACAACGTAAAAGTGGTTAAGTGCATAATAAAAATATTTCTTATAATAATAATCAATAACATTATATTCTTCATTCATTGTCTTCACCCGATCAAGAAATCTTTAAATAATTTCGATAATTTTAAGAAGAAATACATTTCATTATTAAAGCTATTAAAAGAATCGATATAATCTGCACATGATCAAATTTTAAAATTTGACAATTAAAGAAAACGATGTCCATATAATATAAAGAATAATTTAAAAAATAATATGAAGAATAATATAAAATTAATTAACAAAAAGAAAAATAAATGATGCGAATGTTTCTTGTAAAACATAGTTTTTATTTTTTTAAAAAAAACAGAAATTAAATAAAAAAACCAACATAAAACCCAAATAAAGAAAACTAAATAATATTATGCATGCACGATACAAGTAATAAATGACATTTTTATAAAATAATTTTTTAACCCCAATCCTTCGTTCAACTTCCCACCATATTATCATAACCATATTCACCTTCATCACCTTATTTATCGCATTCACAAAAATAATTTTTTTAACCTCAATCCATCATTTAACTTCCCACCATATTATAATAACCATCTTCACCTTCATCACCTTATTTATCGCATTTAAACCATTCTCTCCTTCTTTAAGTCAAGTAATAAATGACATTTTATAAAATAAATTTTTTAATCCCAATCCATCATTCAACTTCCCATCATATTATCCCAACCGTCTTCACCTTCATCACCTTATTTATCACATTCACAACAAATCTCTCCTTCTTCAAGTTCATGGTTACACTTATTATCATTATTCACAACTACCCCCTCTTCACCTTCAATTTCTTCTTTGTTTACATTATACATAATTGCTTCACCGGATGCAACAACAACCTCTTCAATCTCTTCCACCTCAACCATATCATCCTCATTTCCTTCTTCAACTTCATTCGTACATTTATGGGTATTATCTTCTTTTTTATGGTCGTGGCCGTGGTCGTGGCTGTGGTCGCGGTCGTGGTCGTGGCCGTTTAAGTATTTGTTTATTGTTTTGCAATTAATTCTCTTCTTGTTGAAGATTTTCACATTTTTGTGAATCTCCGTTTCATCCTTCTTCGCTTTTTTGTTCTTCTTCTTATTACGACCACCTTCAACTTCGTCAACTTCATAATCTTCATCTTCTCTTTTTCTTTTATTCTTCAACTCCTTTTCACCTTCTATTTCATACCTTTCAACTTCCATCATCTCCTCTTCCTTGTCGCATATTTTATTGTAGCATAACTGCACAATTTTTCTCACTTCTTTTTTTCTCGAATTTAAATCGATACTGTAATTTTGCTCTAAATTAGAGCGAACATCCCACGCGCTGACAACATTTAAGTCAGAATTGGAAAGGATTCTTGTAATACTTGGGATGTATTTAGATAAATCAATATCCATGATTAAAAGTAATAATTAATGTTGGTTTAAAATCAAAAAATTTTTTTAAGAAAAAGAAAAAAGTTATGGTTTTTTGGTTGTTTAATTATTAAAATCGAAATGAAAAAAAAATTTTTTTAAGAAAAAGAAAAAAGTTATGGTTTTTTGGTTGTTTAATTATTAAAATCGAAATGAAAAATTTTTTTTTTTTTTTGGATCAAAATTTTATCGTGCATCGTGCTGTGCTGCCATTATTTCTTAAATGGCCCTATTGGCAATCATATTATTGCTATTCTTGTTCTAGTTCCATAATGTAATATTTTCGTGAAAAAAAAATTTCCTCATGAAAGTATAAAAAAAAATTTTTTTCACATCTGATTTTTTTACCGGATATTATTTTGATCCGAAAAACTATATACTTATCAAACAATTGAATCAATTGTTTAAATTATAAATTATATTTTTTATATTTGTATATTAAATAAATAAAGTAAAATATTACAGTAAAGATTATATATTACCTTTTTCATAATGATTTTTTACCGGATATTATTTTGATCCAAAAAACTATATAACTTATCATACAATATATTACAGTAAAGATTATATATTACTTTTTTCATAATGATTTTTTACCGGATATTATTTTAATCCGAAAAACTATATACTTATCATACAATTGAATCAATTGTTTAAATTATAAATTATATTTTTTATATTTGGATATTAAATAAATAAAGTAAAATATTATAGTAAAGATTATATAATTATTGTCCGTTGCTTTTTTAGTAATTTTGAATTAATAGCAATTCAGCCACGAGGCCACGAGGATTTAATTTTAAAAAAAGTAGTACATATCATATCTGATGTCATTTTAGTACTGATGCATGTGTAACAGTAACTGATTGTTAATTTTTCCCCACAAAATACTAATATATTATAATATTGTCAATCTTAATTTAATATTGTCAATCTTTAATTTAATATTGTAATATAATTTATAATGTAAAAATAATAACGATAATAACTGTTAATCAGTTAATTATTATTATTGTGAATGCTAATTATTATAGATACCTACGATAATAATTAATTTGTTATTTGATGGACCAATCAAAGCAAGAATGTAATTGTTCTCATGATAATAATTAATTTTCTTATATCCAATATCAATCAAAGATAAGAAACAATACGGAGTATGGATTGATTAATGTTAATGTTTATTTTTTTCTTTCATATGATTTCATTTTTTTTTTGTTTAATAAATATTATTTATTTTATTTATTGTATATAGAGATTTAGAAATATAGATTTTGATAACCTGAGAATGTGAAAATTTTTATTATGCTCATTATCGTCTATTAATAAATTCGATATCTCTAAAAGTAAAATAAAAAATAATCTAAATCATTTTAAATAGTTTTTATTATAATAATTGATTCCCTTGCCAGCGAAAGATTTTTCTACTACTTCCTCCACACACCAAGATATCATCATCATCAAGTATTATCCCTAGTTCCGATTATGGATTCTTAATATGCAACACGGTGTGATGGCCAAAGTTTTCGAGCTCTACAACCTGCTTCAAGTTAATCAATCTCTAAATGCAAATAACGTTACGTCATCCGTCATTTGTAACACAGCCTTCAACCAAAGATCATTATTACGATGTCCTCGTCCGATTAATATTAAACAGAGAAAGGATGTTGCAAGTTAATATTCATTTTATAAAATCACGTTTCATAACTATTTTATTATATAATCATAATAATTTTTACCTTTCTTTTTTTTCGGATATGGAAAAAGCTTGTCAACTTGCTCATTCCAAAAAAGGAAAAGCAGGTTAAATGGTTCATATTTGAAACTGGTCAACTGTCAATATGAACAATTGGCTGGGAGGTAATAAAATGATAATATAATATTAGAACGGATTTCTTAAAATTATAAAATTTTCTTTATATTTAATTATTTAATATTATCACTATTATTATCTTTCTTTAACTTCGATTTTTCAATTTTTTTTTAAAAAAAATTTTTTTTTTTGTATTTTAATAAATATACTAAATCTGATTTTTTTGCTATAAAAATTATTAAAAATACTATACTATACTTATATACTTTTAAATATTTAATTTTTAAGTTTTGGATCGATCATAAAATAAATGCATCGATAACATCAAGTCACCATTGTTCATTGTTTTAAATAATGCATTCGATCATTTTATTCAATATTGAGCGAAGTTGAACTATTATTATCTGTTATATGATGAAAAGGTTAAATATCAGAAGTGAATAATAAATAAGATCAACGATGAAATATTTTGTTGATATCCTTTTCTTGAATAATTTCTAATCTTTATTTCGAAGAATTGATTTTTTATTCCAATAAAATTATTTATCCGCAATTTTTTTTTTTTTTGTTATTATTAAAATCATTAATTATAATTAATTCTTGGCAAATATATTTTGGAAGAAACCTCGACAAAGAAAGTGAATTGTTTTATTATTCTTTTGCTGAGAAAATATATACAATTAGGTAAGTAATCTAGTGAATATAATTAAAAATGGTAGTTTTTGAAACCATCGAGGTCATGTAATAAATCATTTTAAGTTTTTCATTATCTACATCTGAACAGTAAACAATTTAACATGCTTCGCGATGCTCGCTAAGCGAGAAGGTTTACCTGAACATGCACCCAAATATTTACATACCGAGCTCAGTGTAATTAAAAAAAAAACCTGGAATATGTAAAATGTACAACACTGCCGAGTCCCAAATTAAAAATAGTAGTTTTCGTATGAGTATCCATGTAACAAGTGTAACAAGGATAAATTGAAATGAAACTGTTTTAAGTAATAAATTTATATTTTGATTTACATGCGGATACACAATAAAAACAATAAAAACAAAAATTGTTATTATGCAATGATATGTGTTCGGTCATTATGAGTTCTTTTCAAGAGCGAAGAAGATTTTTGTAGTGCGGATAAATGATATGAATATAATTTCATCATCCAAATCACTTTACGAAGAAACTATTCTTTATGACATTGAAGTTTATTGTTATTTCATAATTACAATTTTTTTTTTAAAAAAAAGAATGAATTTATTTTAAATTACAATTATTTCCTATTTTGGAAAATTATTCCATTTTTGGCTCGGAAGAGTAATTTACAAAAATATTATTTCTTCGCCATATCTATTATATCTATTAATATTATCGATAGAATTAAATGAAAATGTATATCAGATATGATCTTTTTTTAAGAATAATTATTAAATGAAAAGTGTATCTGATCTTTAACGATAATAAGATACTTAGATAATTCTAGAAAAGGTATGTTTATATGGTCACCACATGCTATATGTTCCATTGTCGATCATGGAAATTCTATGAAATGAGGATTTTAGAATCTAATTATTTTTATACCAAATTGAACAACCTTATGAAACAGTACTGTTGCGGGAATTTCTTTGCCACTAATAATAAAATTTCTATAAATAATTCACATTCACATTCACTCCCATCTTTTTTTTTCCATGAAATCTTTAATATTTAATCTCTTTAAATATGGTAAAAACCGAACACGCTTGCTTGTCGTGTCAGATCAAGAAAAGAAAATGTGTGAATTCTGGTGCTAGAAATACTTGTGTAAGGTGTATCGAAAAGAATATTCAATGTGTTTATTCTCGTCATAAAAAAAGAGGACGCAGACCTAGTAAGTTAATTTTATATTCGTTATTAAGTAGCTTTAATATTTCATTGATTATTGGATTTAATTAATAAATAAAAATAATAAATGATATCAGAATTTGAATCATCCATTTCATCCATTCTTATGTTGAACGTTGCGTTACAAAATGATTATCCTCAAATGGAAAACCCATCACCAACAATTGAACCACAAGAAACACAAGAGTCACACGAACCACAAGAATGTTCAAATAATCTTTCCCAAAAAGATCTAGAAGAACTATTTCCTGGCATATCAACTTCTTAATTGGGGTTTTTTTTTTATTTTTTATTATATTTATATATTTTATTATTTTACATAGTTCTTCTCTAATTTTATATTCATCTACACATTTTTTCTCTATTTTTTACTTTTTTTTTCATATTTTTTTAATTTTTTTCATATTTTTTCAATTTTTTAACGGTTTTTCTTTATTATATTTATCACATAATTTTCCTCCAATATTTTTTTAATTAAATTATATTTATCCACATATTTTTATCCATTTTTTTTAAAATTTTTTCTATTTACATGATTTTTTCTCTAATATTTTTTTTAAGTTTTTTTTTTCTTTATTATATCTACATAATTTTATTATATTTTATCACATTTTTTCTCTTTTTTTTTACCATTTTTTCTTTATTATATTCATCTATATAAATTCTTCTCTAATATTTTACTATTTTTTTTACATAATTTTTCTCTAATATAATTTTTTTTAACTCGATAGAAGAATCAAAAGTTTATTAAAATATTCTAGAAATAGTTTATTTTCATATTCTCTAATCGAAAAAGCAGAACGCTTAGGTAATAAAAAAAATTTCTTTTGATTAAAGAAAAAAAAGATACGTTTGAAAATTGAAAATTTTAGAGTTTCAAATCAAATGTTTATCCATGTTTGTAAGAATATCACGCCATTATTTCTTAATTTTTTTTTAGAATAAAATTTTACAAGTTAATATGACATAACACAAGCGAAGATCTATTTTTGGAATGTTAAATTAATTATTCATAGTAGAGAATTATATGATTAAAAAACCAAAATATTATATTGATAGTAATCACATTAACTTTAGAATAATTGTGATAATTATCTTGTTCGAAATTAATTAATGATTAATATGAGGGTCCGTACCACCGTTTAATCCGGAATTGTCAATTTTACAATGTTCTCTAATGATGGGATGGATTGTTATGGTCCCTTCAGGGTCTTTTTAACCAATCATCGAAAATTATAATGCTATTAAATATGCAAACAACTTTTTATCCCTTTTTATAACTTGGAAGAATAATATAATATATGTTATAAATATTATAATACAATATTTTTTTAAGTCATATGTATCCCTGACTGAATTGTCTAAATCTACGCTAACCTATTTTCTCTATTTTCTTCATTATTCTTCCACATCGCAAGGACAATTATTTCTCACACGCATAACGATTTTCCTGCATCCTCTTTATACATGCAACGATATAAATTCTACTTATATCTATATTAATTTAATTTAATTATCAAAATGAATCACAATACATAATACAAATATTTTCTATTTATGTACACAGTAAATGATAATGGACAACTACTTTATGATTTTATGATATTTCCATTCATCATTTCTCGTGCACTAAATATGAAATATATTAAGTATCGCTATATTATATTCATACAACCTTTTAGCTAATGAGACGATTTACCTCGAAGTCTTTACATATATACCAGATCTAGAAAATAAAGGAGGACAAATGATTAGCGAAGATCATGAAATAACAGGAATAAATTCTTTTTTTTTTACTTTTACACCAAAATAATTATGATAACCTTTTTTTATAATGTTTTTTAATTCATAAATGTTTTCTATCATACTTCAAAATTCAAAATTCCTGAATGATACGATGATAAGGCGAAGACAGTGAAATCTGAAATCACCAAGTCGATAATGATGATGATCTGTAACCCGTAGACAATGAAAGTTAATCATTACCATATTTTATTATCCATTGCAATTAAGAAAAAAACCCAAAAAGAAGAAGACACATTACCTTAAGATGTCTTTTCAACTATTTTCAACTATTATCCATCAAAATTTCTCTCTTCTTATGCAACAAACAATAAAGTATCGTCATCATAATCACATCCGAAACTTCAAATACTATGAATGACTTACAAATGACCAAACATAAATGATCGATGACATAATGCAACGATGAACACAATGATCACGCAACGATGAACATAGTGAACACAATGGAAAAATAGATTAAAATTATATGAGCAGCATAAAATATCGAGTTAATTAACTAAAGAAAAAAAAAGAAGATAAAAAAAATGATTTTTTGAGTATATTATGTCATACCTTTCAATATTCTAAAATAATATAATATACAGTCAAATTTGGATTTAACGAATTTTAATTTCTTAATATTTTTCTGGTCCCGATTTTTTCATAATAATAAAAAAAAAATGGATATAACGAATTTATTTAAGAAATTATGCTATAACGTAGTACGAGGTGAACATGTATGTTAAATAGCACCTTGATATAATAATATTTTTTTTCAGTATAACGAAGTTAAAATATATAAGGAACTTTTAAAATTTTGTTAAGCTCGTGATTTTAGAGATAACGAATTTTTTAAAAAAAATTTTAAGAATATTTGTTATATACGTTACACTAGCTTTAGCGAATTTTTTACGAAGGCCCGATTTTCCCGGTCACTAACTTCGTTATATGGTAAGTTTGTTATAATTATTATAATATGCACAAGCTATAGCATAACATAATGATGTATTGTGCTATAGATAACATTTAATGTATTATATAATTATTATAATCAGTGTTTGAAATTCAAATTTTTTATGTGCGGAGTTTCACTGATTATAATATAATATAATTATTATAATAGTATAATATAATTATTATAATAATATAAATAATTATTATAATAATATAAATAATTATTATAATATAATTATTATAATATGCACACGCTATAGTATAACATATGATATTAAGGTAATAATAATGATGTATTTTACTATAGAAAATAGAATATTTGATCATTTTTTTTCAAATTCTTTTTGTTATTATTAACTTTTCACATTCTTTTTTTTAATAATAACAAAAAGAATGTGAAAAAAAGTAAATAATAACAAAAAGAGTAACAAAAAGAATGTGAAAAAAAGTAAATAATAACAAAAAGAGTAACAAAAAGAATGTGAAAAAAAATTAACAATACCAATTTTTTCACGTTCTTTTGTTATTTTTAACTTTTGTTCACATTCTTTTTGTTATTGTTAACTTTTGTCACATTCTTTTTGTTATTGTTAACATTCTTTTTGTTATTGTTAACATTCTTTTTATTATTATTAAAAATTTCTATAAGCCACATATTCAAGTTACCGATTATCATTCTTCTTTATTATTTTTTTTATATTGATCTTAATACTTTTCATAATATGTAATAGAGCATCCTGAAAGTATATAATGATTCCTCTTTTTTTCGTCAAGAATTTTTTTTTTTAATTTTCAAAAAAAATAAAATCTTTATTATTACTTGAAAAAATGCTTACAGAAAAACAACAAAAAACCTATGATCTATTTCGTAATTATCACTACCTATATTATTATTATTATTATTATTATTATTATTCATTATTTTTTCATTAATTCTTAATTTATTTTTTCATTTTTTATTATTTTTATTAGAGTTAATGCCCAGAAAAATTAAAAGAATCTTTCATCGAATCAACATTGATGGTACAAAATGGGCTAACGAATGTGTCCAAAATCCGAATCCTGAAGCGAAAAAGCAATTGGAATCCATCTTAATGGATATCGATTTCATTCATCTTAATTTTGACGAAGGTCAAGATGAATTGGCAAAAATCGCAAGAGATGTAAGTTTATCATTTTTTTCTATCTAATATTTCATTTTTTATAATTATAAATAATATTTGCTAATAACCATTTTTTTTTTAATATTAGCTCCTAAGACCTTTCCGAAATAGATACATGAGATCTCTTGCGATTTTTGTGCCAAAACAAGCTGGTGTGAAAAGGAAACTAAATTCTGGGGATGGAAATAATAAAAGGGCTAAACGCCAATAATCATTTCTCCTTTTTTTTTTTTTTTTTAATAATTATAAATTCTAAATATCTTTTTTTTTTCAATTATTTTTTTTTCAATTATATCTTATATCAATTTAAAATTTCTTGTATATATTCTTTTTTTTTATTTTTTTTAATTTCGTGTATATAAATTTTTTAATTTCTTGTATATATTTCATTTATTTTATTTTTTTTAATTTCGTGTATATAAATTTTTAATTTCTTGTATATATTCATTTATTTTATTATTCTTTCTTGTATATATTCTTTATTCTTGTATATATTTTTTTATTATTTTTTTTTATATCTCATTAAAATATCTTTTATTATAAATATCGTCTATTATTTTCTATTGTCTTTATTAAAATGATTATAAGTGATAAATATAGTAACAATAATAATATAAAGTAATACTAAGTAATAATTAATAAATATTTTTGAATTAAATAATTAAAATAAATTAATTGAATAAATGATTTTAATTTTTAATAACAAATCTCAACTTATTACGATGACAAATATTATTATATTAAATTGAAGAATTAATAATTATGCGTAAGTCTATTTTTTATGCTTTCAAGTGATACAAGAATACATCATTTCAATTGATTATTGTAAACTATATATTTAATTTTTTTTTTTTTGAAAACCGATAACATCTGATATTACGAGACTTGATAAATTTGGAAATCTAATGTCAATCTCATGAAAATGCATGGGTGCAATGATCAGAGACCTAATATATAATTATTAAATAAATAATGTGATAGAATTTGATAAGAGAGAAAAAGGCAAAAGATGTACAATTTGAATAGTATTATATTATAAAAAAAAAAGCTTATGGTGCCGTAAATAAATTACATTGAATAGTTTCTTACATTAATTAAAAAAGCTTAGGTTGCCAAAATGAATTACGTCAGATCAAGAGAAAAAAAAAAGTTGAATATTTTGAATAGTTTATTTTATTATTTTATATAAATTACTGTAAATAGAAAAAATAAGCTTATGTATCTTAAATATGTGTCATAAATTAAATTATGTCAAATATTATTCTTATATTAATTAAATAAAACTTTTTTTTTTATCATTTTCTAAAAGATTTAATTTTTCTCTTGATAAATAAATAAGAAAATTGCTAAAGCTCACCAATGGTGATTGTCACCACTGGGCAAAATTAAATTTACGTGGGTAAAGTTAGGGTTAGGGGTTGATCAGGGAATTATGTAATTTTGCCCAGCGGTGACAATCACCACCGGTGAGCTTTAGAAATATTCTATTATTGTTATTTATATTCGAAATCAAATTGGTTTTTATTACTTTTAATTTTTATTAAGACAACAGAGGATTCCATGAACTTCTCCATTCCTCCCATCTCTGAAGTTCTTATTAAGGAGAGATCAAAGGGGAAGGAAGTTGTAGTTGGGAGGGATGAAAGAATTGAAGAGTCCAGAAGGAAGGTTTTGGAAGAAGCTAATGAGCTTATTCGGGTAAATATATAATATAATTTTACATAATTGGCCTTTTAAAGAGGTAAGTCATGATATCATGACTCAAATTCCGTCGATTTTGGCTGTTCACATTTGAGGCGAGAGAAGTTGAAGGTGGGAATGATAATAATAATGTTGGAAGGAAGATTGCCAAGATTTCTACCAATGTACAATAAGAATCAGCTAACAAAGGTAATAATGACAATTTGACAATTTAAAAAGGTTTCGGGTCACTTAGAGGCATTCCTTTGTTATGCTAATTCTTTTCACAATCAGAATGAAACGAGAAAATGGTGGTACCACTATAAAATACTCCTAAATCTGAAAAGGTCTTTAGCGTGATCGACAATTGCCGTTCATTCGAAGATGCCAAGTTAGTAGATATCTTCAAGTACCTTCATTACATCATAATTAAATAAATTTTTACCGTTGAGCATGAAAAATGCATCCAGCAACTTGGAAAAAATTATGAAACATTGGAGAAATATCCTTCTGGAGGATTAGAAATGGCTAACAGTCTCTTGTCAACGAAGATCATAAATTGTGTCAAAGCGTTAATATGGAAATTTTATTAGATTTTATATTTGTTTTATATTCATTAAAAAAAACACATAAAATAGTCATAGACATTTTAAATGGGAAACCTTAGAATTTACATTTCGCAAATTAAGAATTATTTTATTGAATAAAATAGAATTCTGTTAAAAAAAAAATTGAAAACAATACAAGTAGTCAACTTATTAAGATCTAATTTAAATGAATATTAAGTCAATTTTTATAATATATAAAATAATTTTAAACAATACAATCTTGTTTTTCTCCTACATCAATTAAAGTAGTGTTTAAGAATTCCTTTGGTTTTTTTTTATCATGTTGATAAAAAAAAGAATTGAAAAAGAATGGGTGGAATCTAAAAATTGTTCCCTCCCATATGACCTAAAAAAAATAGATCATAAAAACGTAATATCGTAATGTAAATGAATAAAATTCAAGATCTTTTTTCTAAAATCATAATGAAAGTTTGTCTTTTTTTTTTTTTGATTTCTCGCAGTTACATTCTAAACCTGGGAAATGGATAAATCACATATTGTTCTCTCTAAAATATAAAATGTTTGAATTCCACTTGGATATTGAAAAGTTGTTATCATAAAATTCTTACTCAATGTCATTTCCCAAATATCCGATGTTGACTAAAAAAAAATGAATGGGTAATTAACTCTAACACATATTTTAAAAACATATTTTTCGAAGTCAAACATATCAATAATCTTTACTTGTATTATTCATTACATTGAGCACTCAAATCTAATCCTAAAATCTATTGAAATATTTATCCTTCCAAATGAAAGCCAGAAAAAAACACACGAAACAACACTGTATCCAAATTCTAGTATAAAAAATTATATTAAATCCATATCAACAATTCTTCATCATTTCAATACTCACCTCATCAATAAATCTCATTGAAAGTGTTAAAAAAATGAGAGCGACACTGTGCACCTCTTTGAATGTATATATAAAACATGAATTCTTTGTATGTTAGACTTTCAACCTTACAATCCACCCATAGCAAGAAACTTTCTATATCAAAATGGACGAAATTTATTAGTAGAAAATCGTATAAAGATATTCTCTATATTACGTATTTTTATATTTTTAAAAGAAAAATCAAAAAATGATCGTTATTTCGTGACAATTTACCTTTTATTCACCAAGAAGGTATTTGGTGTTTCGGATAAAAAAAAATCAAAAATTGTATAAAATATTGGATGACCTTTCCATGACTATATTTATAATTTAGTAAATCCATCCCGATTTTTTTATTTCCTTACATTAATCTTACCTCTGTTTCAGAATATACTACTTTTCAAATCTCTAAAGGTATAAAGAATAATTATTATGAATAATTAGATATTTATGACAAGATCAATCTAGACGAAATCTAGATAATTAATTATATACTAAGGTAAGAACTAACCTAAAATTTAGCCAGTGTACATGTAGAGGTAATGTTTTATTTGGTTTGTTTGGTTGCTTCAATCCATCGGATGGCTTCAGTCGAACTTAGTCAACTTGTACCTTATAAAAGGATAGTTCCATCCAGTAAAGCCCGAAGAAAAATTCCACGGGCGCCGTTTATATCTCTGTATATGCATAAACCACATTTCCCACACTTAAAAACTTTTCTTCCCCCTAAATTTTGATTTATCCATTCACAGAAACCACATGTTTCACTTGTATACGCCTCTCCAACTATTTTAACTCCTTTTCCTACTCTTCTGCCTTTGAAATTAGTCTCTCCCGAAATCTCCCATGAGCCTATGACATCATTTTCCGTACAGTTCTATTGTTAATTTTGCGATGTTGTTTTCGGGACATCTGATCACCATTAAATGGTGAGCATCAAATATGCAGTCAAGCCAGAGTGCTGTTTTCTTATGGCAATCATCTACGATATTACAGATTTTTTGTCGAATGCGGATGCATATGATTACGTTTATTTGCGCGGGCTTTAATAGTACGGGAAATGAGATCATCAAGATGAAGGCAGAGACGAATAATTCTTTGTGCATCTTGATTACCAATATAGAATTTACGGACACCTGGATCTAGTGAACAAACAGTAATACCTCCCGTTTGGTTCTCACGAGGGGTCACTTCCTTTTCATAGATCCAAATAAATGTCCATTGTTGTTGATATGGTCCATATAAGTTTTGAATCATTATTAACTCGTCCTTCTAAATTGGGCCAATTGTTTTTTTATTCGCGGTATTCGTGGTGGAGGGGAGGATATGCAATTGAGTTTTTGTGTCGGGGGTGTAAAGAATTATCAGAAGTGATTTCGTGATTATGTAAAAGACGGGGGTAAAACTTGAGGTGATCCCTGCAGTTTTTTCATCACTTCATCAAGTACGTTGCATGGAACGTCCTTCATGAAAGACCAAGTACCATTTTCAATTGGTTGACGGCGGAGGATGCGAAAATAAGCGAGATTGGCATAGTTACCATTTTGGAACTTCTCGACAACCAATTCTAAACGAGTCTTAAAATTGAAAAAGAAGGGGAAAATAAAAAAAACAAGTGAAGAGAAGAAAATCGAAAAAAAATAAAAAAAAAAAAAAAAGAGAGAAGAAAAGAAATTGGAAAAAATAAAAAAAAATTCACAAACCACTAAATTTCTAAATTCTCAAAAATAAAAAATATGTACATATATTCGTTTCTTACCCAGAACATACCATCCATTCCTTCATTGATTCCTTTTGTCTCATATTCGGGTAAACTCGCACTTTTATGCTTCTATTTTTCTTTTTTTTCGGGTGTGACTAAGTATTGCGTTTCTTTCCCACTTCGAATTTGTCATTCATTTGTTCTTCATAATTGGATTTCCTGAGCAAGTTTGCTGGTGGCTGATGAAGTCGATGTGTTGTTACTTGATTGTATCATGATGATCTTGGTATCACATATTTACTCTTTTTTTTTTTTTTCTTTTTTTCCGATGGAGTCTTGGAAGACATACTTGATAAGGTCAAAGGTGAAACGACAGAGTCAATCTCTGTGGACAACCATAATCTCTGTGACTAAACCGCGACATGATCATTCCAGTTGATGTCATATATAAATATTTATAAACAATAAAAAGATATATTTAAAAAAAAATAAATATAGATTTTAAGCAGAGGTGATTTATACTTTACCTTATATTTATAAAAAATAAAAAATGCTGAGGTACAGTATTGATTTCGCGATAACAATAATTGGTAAAATTAAGGAGGTAAATATATTATTTTTTTTCAAAAAAATGCGAAATCCGTGAAAGGGATAAGGTAAGTGTTGTAAATGAGGAGAAAGGGAAATTTTTTTTTTTTTTTTTCTAAAAAAAAAATAAAAAATACACTTATCTACCATACATCCACGAACATACACATACATCCACATACATCCACATACATTCGCGGTTTTAAAAGATTTTTCAAATATTCCGCGTTTACCTAAATATAGTATTTTAAACAATTATGCTATGTTGTTGTTGTTCGTTACACCTAAAATCCTACTAATATGAATATTTTAATGTAAATTCCTGGCTTTTTTTTTTCGGACAGCTATTAACAATACAATTTTATTAAAGAACAATGAGAATCAATTAAATGTGGATATCAGTATAAGCTTATTTTAGCTTATTTCATCTTGATAAGCAAGATATAGCTGTTGCTAATTCCTTACCACACCCACACAAGTAACAATAATAATTATAATTGTAATAATGTATGATATGTAATAGATATACCACGTATTCACGGAGACTAACGTTCATGATAATTTTATTGATTAGTTTAAATAGTATAAATAAAGCTACATTTTATTTTAAATAGATATTAACTTCATAATTCATTTGTATCGTATTGAATTTAAAAGAGTATTAATCTTATAATACTGTATAAACTTTATAACAGATAAATGATAATATACTAATAATTATTATCATCTTTTATATGAATCGAATTATTCTTTATTCCTTTTTTAAGAAAAGAATGCAACCTTTTCTTTTTTAAGAGAACGTTGAAATGTATAACAGATAAGCAAAGGCATAATTTTGTATTATAAAATCAGTTGTTAATAGAACTGATCCAGTCACACTTTCATTTTCACATTCTTCGGTATTATTAGTATTTTTGTTATTACTATTATTTCTAGACTATTATTATTACTCCCAGTAATATTTCTGTTGCAGTGTACTGGTTAAATTTTGATATTCAGGTTGATTACTATTATTATTATCATAAAACGTTCTCTTAATATTCATTTTCTTCACATAATAAATCCATCAATAACGGAGAAATTATTTTTTGATATAAAAAAAAAGTTAATTTTATTTAATTAAGATCAATATTGTCTAAAGGACTTCGAAGATTTTTTCAATACTAATTTTATCCACTTAATTATAACAAGTTGGATGCCATCAATAAAGGATAATTTCTCTTCTTTTGATGTAAAACGTGTAAAAATGTTCGAAGTAATATAATATTTACATACTGACACAATTGTGGTTGATGGTTATTATCATTTGGCTTGGGATAATTCAACGAGTGGTATTTTTATGGTGTCTTTTAAGAAGCTCTTGCCATAATGCTTGGGTTAATATTGTGTAATCCACTTGCGAAATATAATTTAAAAATCGATAACATTTTATTAATTTCAAAAAACCTAATCAACAATTACTAACAATTATCATTTAAACCAACTAATGAGAGAAATCCTAATTTCCAATAAAAAAAAATATAATTAACCATTATAAGTCACATTAGAAACATTAAAAAAATAATTATTTATTTATACATTTATTGTTCAATAGAATTGCGTGAGAATTATATTGTATAATTACAAATTCTCTCTAGAAGCCTGAAAGGATAATAAAATATGTTTTTATTTGATGAAATAAATAATACAGATGAAGGTAGTAATACATATTTGAAACATTGATATTAAATAAATAATTTAAATTATTTCAATAACAATTCTGAAAATCAATTGAACGAGAACACAATACAACGATACGCAATACACGGAGGGATAAATTATAATTTAAAAATTAAGACATTTTAACTCCATGTATTATTTAAATATTGTTTATTGAATATCTATCAGATTATCGGGTGAAGATGTAGCAGGATTTGCAGTATTTGTAGTAGAATCTTTGGTATCTCTTAGGTATTGAGAAGGGATTTTTTCAACTATAATGCTGGTACAAAATTGACATTTTATAGAACCAACTGGAATATCAGCTTGACACCATGGGCATTCCTCTGTTTTCTCCTTTGGCTTTCGAATTAATTTGTAAACTATAAAATTAAAATGTATTTCGAAATAGATATAATTATTGTTTAGATGTTATATTATTGAGAGATAATATACATAAATAAATAAATAAATATATTATATATATATATATATATATATAATCTCACCATAGAATATCAAAAATAAAGTGATAGCCACCATAAAGAATTCAATGACGGCATTAAGGAAGGAACCAATATTTTCGGTCCTAATTTAAAAAAAATTTAGAAAATTTTATTAATTAATGTAGAAATTTTATTAATTTAATAAATAATTTTATTAAAAAATCATACACTGCTCCATCTTCTTGAGCTTCTTGAGGTGTATTATATTTGGCATTGGGAGTTTGACCATGACGAATAACGATGAAGAAATTTTCAAGATTTGTACCTGGATTTTCATATCATACAATGAATTAATTATTATAATAATTATTATTATTATGAATTGTTATAAATTTTGGGAATTTAGAATTTTCCGATTAATTTACCATGAATAAGTAAACCAAGTGGTGGTGTAACAATGTCATTCTATATTAAATTTTTTTTAAAAAAATTAATTTTTTTTATACTGTAAAAAAAAAAAAAAAAATATTTTATGCATTAATATATAATATTAGATACTTTACCACAAGTGAGTTAACCACTTTAGTGAAAACTGTACCAATAATTACAGCAAGCACTAAGTCCATAACATTTCCTCCCCTTTTCTTTATAAAATCCTTAAAGTCTTGGATAATTCCTAAAGCCATTTTTTTTTTAAGATGAAAGTTCTAAAAGGAATAAAAAATTTTCAAAACAAACTTAATAAAATGTATCAGATGCATATATATGTATAATCTTTGGAGATACGAGATGACGCGTATAGATAAATCGATTTTGTCATCAAAAAATTCAGGACAGAAACCAGAATTTTGATCTAAACTTACGTTTTCGTTTTCTGGTTTTTTTTTTAATTAATGAAACGATACAAAATTGGGCAACAATGATTTTCTACGGATGACGTATACAATATTATAGGGATGTTGTTATTTTAATTAAACTTTTTTGGAACTTATACGTCAACTAACATTTAAGTACACATTAAAAAAACGTAATACGATTGTTCTGATAATAGTTATCTATTTCATGTTACCAAACAATTTGAATTTGATTACACAAAATTTATTTGTTGGGTAAAGATTCTAATCTAATTATGTAATAATCTAATCTGTGTAATCTTTCTCCTGATTCTTGTTTTTAATGAATGAATCAAAAATTACAAAATTCTCCTTTTCCGATATCAAATTTAACTCCCTTACGTGATAATTTTCTCCTACAGCTAAAATCAACGATACTCTCACATAAAATTTATAAAATTGCAAAAATCTTAAATCAAAGATTTATTTAACAAATAAATTACTCTATTTATAAAATATATATAAAATAAAAATTAAATAATTTATTCTATAAATAATTTGTAATAATAACATTTTTCTAAAAAGATATATAGTTTAATAGTTAGTAATTCATTTTCTTTAAACATGATGATGACTAAATTATAAATAATAACAATAATAAATAACAAATAATAGATGATAATATAATATATAAATATAATAAATAATAAATAATAAATAATAATAATATTAATAAATAATAGCCTTAAAAAATTGTCCTACAAATAGTTTTTTTTTTCATCATAATTTTTTTCATACTAATTTTTTCATAAATAATTTTTTTACAGATTAGAAATGACTGAGAGAGTAAAATCAGTGGTCGTAGATGTACCTCCCATATCAGGTGTTTTAGCCTGAAATTTTATTAAAGATTAAATATAAATCAAGCATAAATTATATTTTAATATTCAACGAAAATAAAGAAAGAAACTTACCGCTCCACGTTGAATCGTTTGTTTAACAGCATTATGAATTCTGGAAGCATAATCATCTAATCCTAAATGACGTAACATCAATACTCCAGACAAAATTAATGCTGATGGATTCGCTAAATTTAAACCTTTAATATCTTTACCGACATGGCGGCATCCCTAATAAATGAATAATAATATTCGTCGATACGAATAAAATAAATAAAAATAAATAAATAAAATAAATAAATAAAAATAAATAAATAAAAATAAATAAATAAAAATAAATAAATAAAAATAAATAAATAAATAGAATAAAATAAATAAATTAATAAATTAATTAATTACCGGTTCAAATAAAGCGTACTCTCTTCCAATATTTGCCCCAGGAATAATACCCGGTCCACCAACCAAAGCTGCTCCGACATTACTTACGATATTACCATATAAATTAGGCATTACCATAACATCAAATTGTTGAGGTCTAGATACTAATTGCATAGAACAATTGTCAACTATCATATCGTCAAATTCAATCCCAGAAGATTTATATCCTTCTGCTATTTGACGACAAGTATTAAGAAATAATCCGTCACCGAGTTTCCTAATTGTTATTATATTATCATTTGTTAATGTATGATATTTTTGTTTATTATTTGTTAACATTTAAATATTTTAACAAATTAATTAATTAGAATAAACTTACATTATGTTAGCCTTATGAACACACGTGACTTTTTTTCGACCATTCTTTAATGCAAAATCGAAAGCAAAACGCGCAATACGTTCTGTTTTTTCTCTAGTCACAATTTTAAGTGATTCTACAACTCCCGGATATGACTATTTTTTTTTTCATAAATAAACAAAATATAAATAAAATATATAAATGAATTTTTTTTATTATTGGAATTGAAATTATTATTTAAATTACCTGATGTTCCAAACCAGAATATTCGCCTTCCGTATTCTCACGAATGATTGCAAAATCAACATCTTTGTGTCGAGTAGGATAACCTTTAAGATTTCTAATAAGAACTAAAGATGCATATATATCAAGATTCTTTCTCATTGCGACGTTAAAAGATTGATGAGCTAATTTGGATATAGGCGTGTAAAGAATTCCTATTAAAAATAAATGAAAAAAAAAAAAATTATAATAAAGAATTTATTAATTATAAAAATCAAATTTAATAATAATTTTAATTATTTTTACCTTTTAACGCGACTTTATTTCTTTCTATACTTTGAACACTTTGTTCAAATAAAATATCATCTTCCTGAGTATAACCAGTTACATCTAATTGTTCCCATTCAACAGGAACATTAGCTGCCTTAAAAATAGTCTTCACGGCATTAGCAGTTTCTTGACCAATTCCGTCACCCGGAATTAATGTTATAGTATATTTTCCTCCATATTTTGTAAGACCTCTCTATTTAGAAATAAGATGAATAAAAAAAACTACGCGACTTTCGATATATTTTATGATATTTTATATAATGATAATAAATGAAATAAAACTTACTTTAAGATCTGGTTGGTTTGGCGTTATAATAGAACTCACTCCCCGAGAAAACCTCTTTTAAAAAATAAAAAAATAAAGAAAATTTAAATTAAAAATTAAATTAAAAATTAAATTAAAAATTAAATTAAAAATTAACGGTTATCAAAATAATTATAAAAAGTTATCATTTATACTTGTAGTTGTTTAGTAGTAGTAATAATTATTGGAGCTATTTTTCTAACGGACGTCTTCAACATTTTTTTAATAATGAATGTTTTTTAATAATATTTGAAAAAGATAATCTTTTTTTTTTTATCAAACGCAATTAAATAATAATAGATAACAGGAGAAAGATGAAAAATGTAGATATTGATTATGCTTTCTTTTTAAGTTACAAATTAACCATTTTAGTAATGAGGATAATCTCAATTCTATCGAAATTCCTTTTATATTACTTCCATATTTTTTTTATATATTACAGGGCGTAGTTCTATACTTTCTCGAAGATTCTATTATCACCAAATCATTCATTCATTATTGATCATTCATTAATTAGTGAGGTATATCAATATTATTAAAATTATTCCCAACAAAAAATCTAATTTTTTTTTTCTATATTAAAAAATAATAATATTTAACAAAAAATAATTATACAATATATAATAAAAATAAATTAAATAAATTAATTAATAATAATATACATTTTGGTAAAAATTTATGTTCTTATTTGATATTTTCCTGCTTTGGTCATACTTCTTACACCCTTCAATAAATAAATAAATAAATTAAACAATAAATTAAAATATTCGTTTAATTGATTAATTAAATGATTTTTTTGTTTTAATTTACCTTATATGGTTTATATCCTTCATTATAAAGTTTCAAACTATCCACTTTAAGTCCTGATATAGCAAACATATTTATAACAAAATCAAGTGTAATTGTATATCCTGATTCTGGTGTTTGTTCACTAAAAAATAAAAATTTTATATATTTTACACATATATATATATATATATTTATTTAATGATATTAATATTAATGTTATCACTTACAGACAACTAAAATTTCCTGATAAATTTGGTGTTCTATCTTTGGTTTCTATTTTTCCCAAATCCCATTTTATACTCTTTTTATTTTAATTAAATAATAATAATATTATTATTATTAATAAATAATTAGTTTTATAAAATAATATTAATGAAACTAATATTAAAAATTTATTACCTACCTTTGTTACAGGATCATAAATATAAGAACCAAGATTACATGTAGCATTAACATTTGTTACTGATTGAGCAAGTGGAAATACCAATAATACATTTTCTACTGATTTCCCATCTGTATTTCTTATTATAATAGATATATCAAATTTACCTGGAAAATATTTAAAAAATATATATATTTAATTAAAAGTAATAGTAATAATGGTATTGTAGTTAAATAGTAATAAATATTTTCATACCACCATTATTTCCCATAAATATTTGTGGCTTAACATAAACAGGTAATGTATTTGTATTTTGATGTGGTAAATTCACTCTGTACAAATATTTATATTATATATTTACATATATATATATATACTTTAATAAAAAATCTAAATAACAATCATTATTAAATATATTAAAAAAAATAATAAAACCTGTAGCTCATTAATTTAAAATGTCCATCGGGTGGTACAAAAGAAAGAACACGTTCGTGTTCAAATTTATTATATCTTACACAAGGATGAAAACTACAATCATCCAGGATTCGTGGATTGACAAAATTTAATGTAAGATCTGGCATTCCTATTATAATAATATTTAATAATAATATTCATTAAACTGTCATTAGTTGTGTTGATTAATTTTATATATGTGTACATATGTCTCTCTCTATTTTTTCAATACATATTTGAATGAAAAAAGTGATATATTTACCAGATAAACGGCAATTTGCTTGTATTAAACCATGTGTTTCTGATGACACTATTGTACCATTACTAAAAATATAAATCAAATAAATATAATTAATAAATTTCTTTAGTTTTAATAAAGTTCTTAGTCTTGAACTTCATCTTCTTCTTACCTATCAACAATTGCATCTATCTCTTCAATTACATCAAAATAGATTTCATTATTAGTATATTTGACACCTGCTTTTCTCCATGGTATACTTGATATTGTACTACCATTGGGTACATGCTGAGATACACTTTTCATATTTAACAGTAATAATATTAATTAGTAATAATAATAATAATAATAATAATAATAATAATAGATTGATTGATCCAATTACCTTGTCACACCAGCAACTTGACTTATTACTTTATTGATAATATTTGGTGGTACTATCATTTCTCTTAATGCATTAGGTTCAGTTGTCAAAGGATATCCTAAAATATATAAAAAATAACATATATCATAAATAACATATTATAAATAAATAACATATAATAAATAATATATCATATCTAAACATTCTAAATATTGTTATATTTTACCATAATCCATCATTTCTTCTAAAAGCTACATATAATTAAATCAATAAAAGAAATAATTAATTAAAGTAATAAATAATGAAACATTTAGGAATAATTTAGTTTTCTTTTTTACAAACCAACCTGATAAACAGTATCAAAGTTATCTTTTATTGATATTTCTGCAATTTCTCCAAAATATTCTGCTAAAATATCAACAATTCGATGAAGAAACTCTAAAACCAACAATGCATCCACTATTATATAATTTTCAATATTATTATTATTATCCATTATTATCATAATAATCCAATATTATTATTATTATTATCCATTATTATCATAATTAATAACCAATATTAGATATGTGTTTAGTTTACCTTCTTTAGAGACTGGACTTAAAAATGTTAAGCCTGAACGATAAACATGTACTAACTGATATTTTGGTGTTGATATGATTGGTAAAACTTCCTCGTGTGAAAGTTGGCTTGAAACTTGTTCATTGAAATAATCTACTAACTGACGATTAATAAGACCACGCCAATGTTTCTCAATAATTATTTTTCTATATATATAAAAAATAAGAAATTGTTTAGTTAAAAATTTTGTAAAATTCAAATAATGAATAATGAATAATGAACTCAAAATTATTATTGTTAATTACCCTGAGGGACTTAGAACAAATAAACTGTCAATCATATCGTCGAGAAATTGTAAGGAAAACTCGAGGTTTTTTTACTTGTGGCGTTTGTCATAAGGAATTTTCCTAGGGTTAACATATATATAATATCTACATATCATATATACTTCGAGGGCGTAATGTTACGCAATTTTATAAATTAAATACAAATGTAAATTGAAAATTACTAAAGCTCACTGATATAAATTTTAAATTAATAAATTTCGACACGTAAAATTATTTAATTTTATTTTATTTTATTGATTTTTATGAAAGTAATTTTTTTATATAAAACGTATACAATCGAATTGAATTAAAATTGAATTAAATAATTACAATAAAAATCAATAAAAAATTTACATTTTTTTTTCACAGTTAAATATGATGATAAATTCATGTTATTTTAATCATTATTATTATTATCACTTCCAGAATATCTTTAGATATAATAAATATCCAATTAACTCTCCTTCCACGTTGGCATTCTTTTGAATATAATAATAAGAAATATCTAATTACTTATTATGTTCAATCCATCACTCTTTTCACGGTTGCTTTCTTTAGATATTTTATTAGTAAGATCACAACTTCTTTCATCTCTTACATCTTTCATATCTTTTACATCTCTTATATCTCTTATATCTCTTATATCTCTTACATCTCTCATGTCTCTTACATCATCTCTCATGTCTTTCATATCTCTTACATCTCTTACATCTTTTATATCTCTTATTCTACTGGATGATCTTGATGATTCAGCTTGTACACGATTATTATCATAATTTAAATTTTGATTCCTTGAACTTTCTCTAAAATCGTATTTAGGTGTAGGTTGAACATGTGTACATTCTACTCGCTTTTGTGATGGATAACTTAAAACTTGAATATCTCGATCACACATTTCTCTAAATATTTCTTCAAATGCTTGAATTGATATATGATCAATTGCTTCATTTTGAATCCAACAACACATACATGGATTATTTTGAGGTGAAAAATATCTTTCATTACCAATTGAACAATCAAACCAAAATCTTCCTAATTCTCGATTAATTTTTAAAGTATAAGTTGGAACAGGTAAAGAATGTAATCGACAAAATTCATATAATAAAACACATGGTCGTTGTTTCCAAAAAGATGAATTCTTTTGTTGATGATAACTCCATTGATTTATTGAATCAATGTTATTATTGGCTTCATGTTTACAACGTGCTCTTTTATTTATTGGATATCCTATATCATGTCCTGAAAATTCACTAAATTTTATATATAAAATTTCAAATGCATGAATTGATGTATAATCAATTGCATCATTTTCGGTCCAACATTTAAAACATGATTGTAAAGGATTAAAATGTCGATCACCAATAAAACATTCAAATAAGTAGGTATCATTACTTTCTATTTTTAATGAATAAATTGGATCTGGAAGTCTATGTAAACGTGAGAAATCTCTTAAAAGTACACATGGACGTTTTAACCAAAATGGTGTCCATTGTTCTTGAATTTGATTCCAGATTATTCGAGTATCTTGCATAAGATCAATTAATTGCATTGCATTCTTAAGTGAATAATATGTTTCGCCTTTAAATAATTTGGAATTTTCTATTTCGGAATTGTTGTCACCATCATCATCAGGTTTAAGTTTAGTATTATTATTATTATCTTTATTATTATTTTCATTATTATCATCATCATTATTAACAATATTATTATTATTATTATTATTATTATTATTATTATTATTATTATTATTAACAATATTATTATTATTATTAACAATATTATTATTATTATTATTAACAATATTATTATTATTATTATTATTATTATTATTATTATTATTCTTGAATGGATCCAGAATTTTAAGAACATCAATTCTATCCACGTCCCTCTTGATTAATTCTCGTTGTTGTTGTGATTTATTATAACGAGAAGTATTAAAATTATTATTATTATTGTTGTTGTTATTATTATTGTTATTATTAGAGATAGGTCGACTCCAACACCTTTTTTTTGGAACTTTTTTATTTTTAACCATATTTTTAGGTGAATTTTTTTGAGTTACTATACCAAAACTATTTAAAAATGGTTTATGACGTGGATGTTCTGGATGCTCCATAGAATCGGATGAAATTTCTTCTTCATCTTTTCTCTGATTTCTTTTTCCTAATGACGATGGAATATTATTATTATTATTTAACTCCCCTTCTACTTGAGTTTCTTCCGTTTCTTCATTTTCAAAGTTTTTCATTGGAAATACAAATCTCTGTTTTGGAGCCTCTGTATCTACAGTAGTATTACGAAAAGAATCAAATACCCATTTATCTGAACCCGGAAGTTTTTTAAACGTTCCGACATTTGGTAATGTATAAACTGGAGCCCTATTGACACTATCTTTATTATTATTATTATTATTATTATTATTATTATTATTATTATTATTATTGCTGTTATTATTATTATTGCTGTTATTATTATTATTATCATCAGATTGAGGTTTATCTAAATTCATTTGCCCAGATTCAATAAACCTATTCTCTTGAACGTTAGAGGTCATAAGTTCTTCACTGGAATATTGACGTGCAATTAGAGACATTTCAGGCATTTTTTTTTTGAATTTTCTAAATTTTCTCTAATTTGTGTCTAAGTTATCCTAAAAGTGAAAATCTGTGCGACGAATTCAATTCACTTTTTTAATCAGATTCGTAATAAACAATGACCAAAAAAAATTATCACATCAGGTGATTTATTCGTGTTTATCACTTTTGTCAACGACAATTTCACTTTTTAAATGGTAATTCTCAAATACTCCTCGCAAAGTTCAATATTTTTTTTACCATACTTCACCTGTTATAACTTTTATAATCATTATTAATATTTATTTTTTAAAAGGAAATATTTAATACATCTAAAATACAAATTATGCATTCTATTCCTTATTATATATATATATCGTAAATGTACAATAGAGAATGATTTTCAAAATTATATAAAATTTAAGACTTTGAATTTAAAATCTTCTTATCTTTTCTTTGAATTATATTCATTAATGACTTGTTCCATTTTTCTTTCAAACCATTCTTTACTTGTTGGTTCGGTGATGGGAATAAATGGCCCGGGATTATTTCTCTTTAACATTAATAATATTCCCGTAGGTTGTAAAGAAATGGTTTCCAAATCTATTGGAAATATATATAAAAAAAAATGAAATTTAATAATAAAATAAATTTTTATAAATCATTTTATGAAAATTATTTTAAACAAATGTATGTTTATTAAGAAAATTTACCCGAAAATGGAACCTCCCAGTCAACTTTTGCTCGACGACATTTTATTAACATAATACGCGTACGCGTTAACATTACAACTTGTTCGTCACCTCCGAGGTCTAAATTTTAAAAAATGCAAATAATCAATCTGTAAATATATATATATATATAATATAAAAAAAAATATAAAAAAAAAATTACCAAGGTGAGCGATATATTCTTCTTCAAAATATTTCCCATCTTCCAATTGTTTCAACCATTGTTGGCCTAAAGCTTCTTTTTGTGAATATGGCTGATTAAATATAAATATATATATTTATTTAATTAAATTTAATTAAAATAAAAATGTTCAATAAAAAAAAAATAATAATAATGCATACTTTTAATATTCCGTCACGTCCTACAAATCGTGGTATTCGAACTGGTGAAATATCATTTTCATCAAATACCGTAGTTGTATTACGTATTCCTAATATGCATATTGTTGTAAATATTTTCGGTCTTCAGAAGGTGATCTCGAAATTTATCTATTTATTTATTTATCTTACCTTCTGTTACATTACTCGTGAAATCGAGTACACCAACTACAGGTTTAGTCACAAGTCTGAAATATATATATATATGATAAAGATTTGTGTAAAAATTGTATTTATAAATTTGAGAACGACAAATTATTATATTTAATATATTTACCCGACAAAACCTTTTCCAACTCCTTTAAAGAAACCGGCGGCACCTTCTCTTTCAGCACCTTCTATTGGCTTACGCTAAAAATTTTTTTTAAACAAACATAATTAATATTTATCCAAAAAAATATATATTTATGAAAATATAATTTACCACTAATCCTTCTATGCCACTACCAATACTGGTAACTAAAGATTTTGATCCTTGAGTAACTCCATATAATGCATGTTTTGGCCTATTCCTAAATTGTGACATGCGCCGACGATCTTGAAAAGTTTTATCCATAGTTGCCACAGAAAGACCTTGAAGAAAAAAAAAAAAAAGAGAAATTAGATATTCGAACAAATAAAAACAACATTTCGAATAAATTTCTTTTTACCTTTTCCAATGCTTCCTGTAAATTTAGAAAAACTATCACTAAAACCGTATACAGTCTTCTTGAAGAAACTTGTTGCGCCCTTAACAAAATAATTAAAAATAAATAACTAAAAAATTAAACGATTAAAATAAGAATTTATATTACATGAAAGAATAAGAATAAAACTAACTTTGGCCAGTCCAAATCCTAAATCTTGTGGTCGATCACTCATGACGAATCCTTGATATGGTTCATAAAAAATATCCACCACTCCTGAACTAATGTTATTAAATAGACCAACTGGATTTCCCAGGAAGTCGGCTGAGCCTACAATCTTGTGAACCTATATAAAATTTAATTTTAAAAATGAATATTATTGAATCGATAACTTGATTAAATAAATAACTTTATTTATATATATATAAATATATATATATATAATGTTTAATATTTGAATACATACTTGATAAAAGAAGGCATCACCGTAATGTTTTCGAATTCGATCAACTAATACAGGAAAACTAACGCGCATGTTTTCCATAGCAAGAGCATTTAACGTAATAGGTGCATCCTGTAATAACAAAAATAATAACAAAGATATCAATTTTTAGTTTTCTTTTTTTTTAATCAAGTAGAACCCAGATCACACACAGAATTCAAAAAATTTCTCAACTGACATTTATGTTTCCGATTGCCATGGTTAATACATTAAAGAAGAACATGATAGGATTCCGAGGGGCAGGCCTTAAATAAAAATATTAGTGAGAAAAGATATATAAATAAATATATATATATATATATATAATTTTAAAAAAATTGCAAGTTACTTGTTTTCGACATTAATCCTCTCTGTTCGAACGAATGATATATTAAGTTTCATTGGGTGTATATGTAATACTTCGAAGTATAATTGGTTATCACCCTCTGCAGACTTGGGTTCAGGAATATCAGAGGTACCTTCAATAAGTGGTCGGCTATTATTATTTTTATTAAATAAATAAATTATTTAAAATTAAAAATAAAAATAAAATAAAATGATGCATTCATGTAAAAAAATTTTTTTTTTTAAAATAAAAAATTTTAAATTACGTACTCTTCAGCTTCTTCTTCTGTACCGGGTCCTTGAATTTTCGTAAATTCGAGTAATGAAAACAGAAAATCTTCATCAATTTCAAATGTCATTTCTTGTAATAAGATAGAGAAATATTTAATGTAGGTAACTCCGTGAGCTAAATTACAAAAGAAAGATAAAGAAAATTCAAAGGGTAATTAAAAAATAATCACAAAAATAAAGCACAATTAGCAATTAATGAATGATAATACTTTACATTCATCTTTTGCTTTAATAAGAGATGTATGAAAAGCAGGATGAACTTCAATTTCTTTGGAATCTTTCGGGACAACTGTTGGATATAATATTATTGGATAAAGTCCTCCATAAAGTTGATTATCGATCTACATATTTTTATTTAAATGTTATTTTCATATACGTGAGAATTTTGAACAAATTTTAAAAATCATAAAAAGAAGAAAAAAAAAATACCTGTAACCATTTTACAACAAAATTGATGGATTGATAAAGTGTAGAATCGCTATATTTAAATTCCAAACCACGCATGAAAGCATATAATAATTCCTGAATAAATTAATTATTAAATTTAAAGAAATAAATTTAGAAAATTCATACACACACATGTTATTAAATTAATTTAATTCAATTCATTAAAGATTTACCTGCATTCGTTTATTAATCACAGATATTCCTATACCTTCAAGTCTAATCTGGAAAGTCAATGTGGTCACCGAATCAATGTCAATCTATATTAAAAAATAATAATAATTACAGTTATATGAATTTTATTAATTTTACTGGGGAATATTATAGCATTAAATGGTGAAAGGAAAAGAAAAAGAAAAGGAAATTACTACTTACGACTTCAAAAGAATCACCCCGATTTGAATTGTTATCGTTACTCGATGAAATTGAAGGTGTTCTTGGTCTAAACACACTCTCTGATTGGTTATAATTAGTCAATAATAATACTTGTGTTGGACCATCCGCAATGACTTCAATAGATAAAATTCTATATTCATTATTATACTATGAATTATGAATGAGGAAAATACGATAAGTATAGAACGAATGTTGACGAATTATACGAATATACAAGAAGTAGTTGTAGATACCGGATATTTGAATGGCATAAGTGACCCTATTTCTTGAATGTTGACGACACGTTCATGATTACTGATATTTAAAACTAATCTCTTTTCTTTAAGAGCCGGATAATCCCAGGAATAAGGAATCTTATTTCCCGGTTTAAGAGCATATCTTTTGGTTGAACTCGATTGTGAATTATTACCAAAGAAATCACGATTTACAACATCCTGTTGATAAAATGAAACTTCCACATCTGAAAAATTTTCTATACGGAATGGCCATTTCCCTTCTTCTTTATTAAATATTACAAAAACTGTGGCATCCTCAAGTAAAATTTCGGTTCTAATTAAATCAATTTCTTCACCGGATTTACCAAGTTTAAGATGAACTCTTCCAAGTTCATCAATATTAATTGGTGCTGACCTGAATTATATAATAATTATTTGATTTTATTCTATATATACAACAAATATATAAAAAAAAAAATTATTAAAAATTTATTTAAAATATTAAAAAATACCAAGTTTTATTTAAGCCAGGATAGCACAACGTCAATTGTTTAACGTCCCCTTGTTTAAGGAAATGAAGTGCTGCTCTATCTCTAGCCTTCACACTATTAATAACATTTGATTCAGGTTCACGGAAATTAAGATCTTCGTTCAAATTATTTTTGATTATGAACCGTGGAGTAAATTCTACAATTTTGGTCAATTTATACTATTTATTTATTTAAATAAATATTAAGATTATTATTTGTTTAACTTAATTTTAAAGCAACAACAACAATAATAATAATAATAATAATAATAATAATAAAAAATAAATAAATAAATAACTAATCGAGTTTAATATTTTTACATACTTTTTGATGTCCTTCTTGTATACTAACACCCAAATGTATCTCTTCGGTTTTAGTGGCTGAAGGAACTACGACTTCTAAAAACGTGCCAACTGCTTCAAAACTTAGTGGCTGAAAAAGTAAAAAATTAATCAATGAATAAATGAATTAATAAATTAAAATAAGAAAATTAAGAAATAAAAGATAAACATGACAAATTTTACCTTGCTCCATTCTGAATCTCCTACTTTTAGGAGAGCTCTATACCGAGTTTCTTCATTTGGATATGAAAACATGTATGGAGCAGCCTATAATTAAAAAAAAAAAATACATATATCATTAGTTTACTAACTTCTTCAACTAAACAAATTATTTCAAAATAGCTTACATTTTGATCCTTTTTTCTTAGCCATCCTAAATATATTTTAATATAAATAAATACAAATAAATATAAATAAATACAAATAAATATAAACAATATAAACCAATATAAAAAAATGAAAAATAACCTTGACCAGCCGCAAATTTGGCAGATTGCATAAACGACATAAGCGATTTAGATTTAAATACCATATCTAAACCTGTTTTATTTATCATGACATAAGGACTATAAATACTATATTTGAAAGCTCCTCCGGAATCGGGAATTTCGCTAAAAAAAAAAAAATAATAATAATAATAAAATAAATAAATAATTATTATTATGAAATAATTTTAAAAGCAAAAAAAAAAAATAATAATAATTTCACTCACGAATAATGTATTTTAAGGTTTAATTTCAAACCCTCTTTATCAGTTAAAGTTAATTGGCTATCAATATTATATTCATATCTATCTGGTGCACGTATTATAGCAAATTCACTAGTATCATAATCTTTAAAGATAATTAAAGTAATAGATAAATAAAAATTAGGTAAAAAATAAAAGTGGAATTTAATAAATTTAAAATAAATAAATAAAATAAATAAATTTTAATACCTGTATCAAGAACTTTGACACTAAGGAGTAAGGTTCCCAATTCAATGTGATGAAATGATGTTACTTGTCCTTTACGTAAGAAATTATTAGCCCAATCATGTTTCTCTTTATTATCATAGACGACACGGATACAGAAATCAATATCATAAGGTAATAAATTTTCGACTTGAATTGGTGCACTTAAACGAATGGTCATATAAGGATACACTCTATTATCATAATTAATCGAGATAAAAAAAATAAATAAATAAAAGATTTCAAATAAGTGTGAATTATAAAATGCGTAAATCTGATGATAGGACGAAAAAAATTTACTTGATGAGAGGATCGTTTTTACTATATCGAGCAAATACTTGGAATCTGAATAGACCATCTTCATCTTCTTGTTGAAAATTCTCACAAGAAAGTGAAGTAATTGGATCAGGTTTCAAGAAATCTTTCCAGTATAAGCTCTCTCTACTCCAATTATAACCAAAATTTCCTGGAACATAAAATTATTAATTAAATAAATAAATAAAAATAAAAAGAACGAAATATTTATTATTAATATTAATCAGTAAAAACTTGATATTTCAAGAAATATATTTTTCGAATTACGAAATTACCATCAGGTCTCATTTTAAGTTTACAATTGTACGCAACTTCTATTGGAACAGGATAATCTTCTCCCGGAGCTAAATAATATTGAAAATAATCGGTTAATCAAATTATTCAAAATAATATTAATAAATATTAATAAATAAATAAATATAATAATTTACCAATTCGTTGAACGGTGGACATTGCATTTTCATGATCATCAACAACTAAAAGTTCCATAACCAAAAGTGTACGATTTTCAACAACGAGGGCTGATCTAAATGTTACTACCTTGATATTATCTTCTAATTTCACATGAACCACCAAACGATGAGAAACATTCTTTATTTTAGGACGTAGAGAATAAAGTGTTTCCCCTTCTCTATCTACGGGAATTTCTTTAATGCTTTCCCATAAAGCTCCATCAAATTGTATACCAAGAATATTTTTGGTTATATTCATTGACTAAATAAATAATAAATGTATATAAATTATATAAATAAATATTTATTTATAATAACTTTATTTTCATTAAAATATAGAAGAATACAAACTTCACGAGTTTTACGCCAATCATCAAATCTCCAATTTAATTCATGACCATCATTCAATTCTTCTACCACAGTATCTTTGGCATCATCAGATGAAATTGCCCAAATGTGCATATTGTAACCTGTTTTATTTCTAAGTTTATAAGGTGTTTTTGATCCTCGATCGGTACTAAGAACATGCTAATAATTATAAATGATTACGAGTAATGAATTGAAAATAATTACAAATGATTATTACTTATTAAATAGAAAAGACAAAAATTTATAGTAAATTAACAAACCTCGCTCTCATGATTAAGTATAGAAAGTGTAGTCCACATTGTTTCTATGAATATATGCGTGATATTTAATTCTAGTCGTTTCTGAGAAGAAATATCTATCACCATACTTTCGGGATTTATATTCTTTGAAGCCTAAAATAACCAAATAATAATAATAATAATAAGTAATAATATTAAATACTTTTCCCTCGGAAATAAAATAAAAAGTAAAATATAAATACATGAAGGCTATATTGCCATGGTTCAACAAGTGGTTCCCAATGTGAATTTGTAAGATTAAAATAATTCATATAAGTTGATATGGTGGCATCAACGCTCATCTAAAAAAAAAATAAATGTAACAAAATTAATATTTAATTAATTCTTTCTAAAGTAATAAATAATAAAAATAATAATAATAATAATAATAATAATAATAATAATAAATAAATAAAATAAATAAAAAATTAAAAGTAATTCAAACCTGAGATGACCAATCATTTACTGTTACAGTAAAGTTATTACATTTTCCATCAATCATTGGGATATCGTGTTCATCCCCAATTAATATTAATCTCGTTCCTTGAAATGTTGCTTTGAGCTATATATAATAAAAATTATTTATATTTAATTTTTAGAAGTAATAATTTATCAAATTTTTAATAATAAAATAAAAAATCAAAATAATAAATAATAAATAATATATTTATTTATTACCACTTCACGTGTCAGAAAAGCCTGTGTGTTATATTGACGTCCTTTACTATTATTTTTCTTGGGGGAAGCCAGTTTATCATAATTAAACGTTCTTAACGCATTCGTATCTGAAGATTCTTCATCTTTCTCGGTTGATTCAGGTTCATCGGCGGTTGATTGTGATGAAAGTTCTGATACTTTATTTACAATTGAACCGATTAATAAAACATCCCTATATGATACTCTTAAAATTAGTGGTCCAACATCAACCTCAATATTTGTAAGTTGTTGTCCTGGTTTGGAACTACGAGTATCCATTGACATATTAAAATTGAAATTATCAATAAATCGTAATTGAGTTGATTCTCTTTGATCCATACGACATAAAAACATTCCTATTTGATCAACTGCCAATGACATAACCCCTTGTTTGGCAAGAACCAATTGTTGAGCAGAAAGAATTACTGCTTCAGTACTTGCTAAATGTGGATTAGCAAGTAAAATGATTTCAGCATTTTCAACACTCACTCGATAATTAAATATAGTAGTTGGAGTAGTTTGTTTCTGTTGAGGTTGAATAGCTATTGAACGTGGTGGTAACATTGGTGATTGTGAATGTATAGATGAATTAGATGAAGTAGGTGAACTAGGTGATTGAGAACCACTTTGACCATTTTGTTCAATTAATTCATTTTGTTCATCGTTATTTGTTGATGAATTTTCAAATGCACTCATGAAATAATTACGTGTGGCAAATAAATGATCTAATGTTAATATAACAGTAGGACTATCAAATGTGACGATAGCTATTATATCTCTCTCTATTCCACTGGTCATTGTAAAACTGAGAGTGAATTGTGAACTATCTTTGTTTACTGCGGGTAATATCTCTCTATAAACATTTTTGATATTTGGTCTTGTATCGTTTAAGGTAACTGAACGAATACAAAGTTCTCCTTCCATTGATCCATCATTCATCATTTTAAATTTGGTATTACTTTGATTAAGTGAAAATTTGGATAAACTCATTTCATCTAAAGATTTTACTTGAAATCCATCACCAGAAAATATTTCCAAGTGAATGTGATTCATTTTAAATACAAAATCAATTGCTGTCCATTGCTTTTTATCAACTTCTTCCTTAACTGTTGAATCTTGATTTGATGAATTATTATTATTATTATTATTATTATTATTATTATTATTATTTTTAGGTGATTTTCCTGATTTTTTCTTTTTCTTTATATCTCTAGGACTACTGGAAGTATCAGGTGAACTGGGACTACTAAAAGCTCTAGGTACTGTATTTGATAAATCAAACAAAAATTTATATTGTTTTTCCGTCAATTTCATTATAACATCCGACATTTTACCGTCAATCTATAATAAAAAAATAAAATAAAATAAAATAAAATAAATTTAAATAAATTTAAATAAATATAAATAAATATTTATATAAAAAAGTTATTCAAACCTCCATATCAGGTCTATCTGAATCTTCAATATGTTCCGAATATGATATATTAAAATTAATATCAACGTCATCAATTATTTGAAGAATCTGAGGTGATTCATTATTTGGAAAATAAAATATTGAACTCAAACGAATCTTTTGTAATTGAGCTTTAATCTTTGTAAGATAATTTTCATCATTGTCATTATGAATAAATTCATTAGAAGCTGAAAATTCACCTAGATTGGCAACTACTACATCTGGTGAATTAGCATTACGTGGAAAAGTAACAATTGGTGTACTAATGACAATTTCATAATGTAACATTGAAACTTTTTCTTGTAAATGAACTGCCTGTGTCATGGCAGCTTGACGAGCAGAATCATAAAGTCCTTTCATTTGTGCAAATTTACTTCCGAAATCAAGTAAAAGACGAATTGGTTCCTCCAAAAATGTTAATTTGGCTGACCCGGTACGTAATGAAATTGATGAATCATATCCAGGAAATCCTGGTTCATTTTCATCAAATGTTTCATATTTAAATACTGCTAAATCTTCTCCTTCAATTGTAAGTAATTGTCTTAAAGATTCTGCTCTATTAGCATCCGCAATGTCATCGGATAAAGAAAAATTTCCCAATTGAGCTCCAACACGAATAGTATTTTGTCTTAATAATACTGCAACCCTTGCGTGAGATAATAATCCTGTAGCAAGCCTTGTACCATCATTATTTAAAATAAATCTGATACTATTTAACTTGACTTTAACTCGCATAGTTGATTGTGAAGGTGGCTTTTCGGCTTCTGGTGAAAAATCTAATGCTTCTTCGAGTGATGGTAAGGAACTAACAGTTGCTGATATTGGAGTTGTAGTAGCTTTTGATGAAGTAAATGTGTCAAGAACAAAATTATATAATTTCAAAATACTTTTACGAGTTACAATTACATTAATTGTTGACATTTCAATATCAACACTTTGATCAATTCCTTCATATTTTGTCATATATTCAGGTGATTTTGGACTAACTTTTGAATATTTTACGTGTACAAGATCTTCAGAATCATCAGATTGGGTATTTCCATATCCTTCCGATGCAGCTAAATGTCTAAATTCGGATCCTGTATCTGACATCTTATCTTCAATACTTAATGATTTAAGAACAACTTCTGCTGACATATCAAAAGAACTTAAAACATAATTTAAACCAAAATGTTCCAAAACCATATCAACAAGAACAATCTCTGGTTTATCCGGATCTGGATCTGCTTTCTTAACAGTAGTAATGAATTTGTCCACCTTAAATTCAAATTCAAAAGTTCTCTGATTTACCTTTGCATTCTGGTGTGACTAAAAGGAATTAATAATAAATAAAAAAAATTATTAAAACTTAAATAAACATATATATATACACATATAAGAACATACTTCTGTATCCTGAGCATCAAAAAATTCCTCTGCATGATCCTCATGGGTATCGTTATCTTCGTCAATTACTATTAAATCGTGTAAAGTTTTTCCTAGTCCTAGCTTTTCGGCCATTACTATAGAATCCCTGTGTTTTAAACGATCCCATTGAACGTCTTTTTTATCTTTTAAAGCTTTTTCTCTAACCAATTCATTTGTTAATCTGCTCAATGACAATTTATCATCTACTATCTCTCTGGAAACGGTTTGTGATTCTTTTGCATTCGGCGGCGGCGGTGACGACGACGGTGATGAAGACGGTGATGAGGGAGTTACTTTGTCAATAATATTCATCATGATCTTATATTTTCTATCCGAAAAATTTGCTTTTAAAAGAGGCAAATGTCCGGAAACTTTAAATTTAGTAAGATTAGCAGCTTTAGGTGCTATTGATATTCCCACATCAAATTGCATGTTTATTCTATCAATAACGTGAAGATCATATTTAGAATCGACCTCACGTATTTGAGCTAAACATCGTTCAACAGATTGACCCACAAGAAGCTAATAATAAATAATATAAATAATACAAATAATTAAACGTTATTACTGTACATCATATTTAAATATTCAAACAATAAAATACATTTATATATATATATATATATATATACGTGTGTTTATATATAAATTTAACATACCTGAGTTGACGAAAGTTGAACAGAAAATCTATCATACATTAAAGATTGTAATTGCTTATAATTTTCATCACTATAATTATCACCTATTTTAGATTGAATTTCTGATATAAGGGATTTTTTTACCAATTTACTTTCTACACTGATATGACCGGAATCTAACACTACGACTTGAGCATCTCGATTAATACAATTTTCGGGAACAATTATGATTGGAGCATTCATATCTATTTTAACATCAATAGTTTTATGTTCCTCCAATACAAGTTCTAATCCAGCTCTAGTTTGTGCTTTAATTCCTTCTAGAGTATCACCTGCCGCTTCCTAAAAAAAAAAACCAAAACAAAAAAATATTTTATATATAATGTAAATATGAATGGTACAATGTACTCTAAAAAATGTTGAGGAAATTGAAAACCTACAATCAATGCAGAAATGGATTCCAATTGCTGTTCGGGAGGTCTGAAAAAGTCAGTAATTGCTTCAATGGTTTTAACATTATAAATTACTTCCAAATGTTTCATTTTCATTGAGAGACCATTATCCGCACGACCATCTAAAGGATTACTTTCAAAAACCAATTGAAAGAAAGGATTATTCGTTTCTTCATCATAACCTACTTCACTTGCACGATTATTTCTCGTCAAATCAGTTTTGTCACTTGTAGATTCATGTTCCTTTTTAACTCGAACAATTTTTGGATATAAAGAGCCTTCAGATCCATCCTCAACACTTAAACTACCTAATGCAGTTTCCGCTTGAAAAGAATCAGGACGTTGAATAAAATTTGTGGTCACGGTATCAAATAACACGTGTAATATTTTCATATTTTTTCCATGAGGATCTTTTTTTAGTGCAAAAGAACCTGTTTTAAGTTTTGTCATAAGAGAAAGTTTCACCCACTATTCCAACCAAATAATTTATTATTAATATAAGTATGAGTATTAATATAGATATATATGTATGTATGTATGTATGTATGTAATAACATCATCATTGACATCAAAACCAACCTCTTTGGGCATTTCCATATCCAAAGTTTCCGGAATAGCATCTTCATCGTAATCAATTGCCTTATATAATTCTTGACGTTGTTCATCATTTAAGATGGTATCTTCTGCTGCCTAATAATAAAAATTTAAATAAAATAAAAAAATTAAATAAAATAAAAAATTTAAATAAAAACAATAAAATAAAATAAATAAAAATAAAATAAAAAATATCATACATTATCTGTCTGTCCCCCATACCACCAACCACTAAACCATCCTGTTGGTTGTGGAGCAGCTTCCTGTTTTTCCTTCCTTTTTTTGGCTATAAATAGATAAAAAAAAATGAAAAGTCAGAAAAGTCACAAATCAAAAAATTCTATAGAAAAATATATTGAAATATATTGCACAAGATAAAAGACAAACCTAAATATTCCTTTTCTTTTTTCAATTGTGATTTTGCAATTGATCGATAAAATCGTATATCTTCATAACTAAGTCTCAATTCTAAATCCTCTAATTTTTTAAGATCCTAGAGAAAAAAAAAGAAAAAAAATCAAATTTGGTTCTAATTCAATATATATATATATATATTATGCTTTAAGCAAAAAAAAAAAATTTACTTCAGCAGATATTTTCTCTAACGATTTGTCTTTATATAATTTAACATATAGTCGTCGATCGTCACGACGTTGAGCAAAATATTCCCATGTCAATTTACGATTCCTTTCACGAATTTCCGAAATGATACAATCAGCAGCAAATTTAAGCCAAGCTCTTGGATTCATTTTTGGAGTTATCTCTTTTGGAGGTCTAAATTTTCGATACTAAAATAACATTATAAATTTCATAAGAAGAAGTGAAAGAAGAAGATTTAAAGAAGAAGAAGAAGAAGGTGATGATGATGATTTTTAATTCATTCACTTTTTTGTTACCTGTTGTTGTCGTAAATAAAAATGAAACAGATCAACCATCAATAATGCATCTCTGTATTGTTCATCATCTAAAACGAAACCAAGTTCATCAAATAAAAGTGTTGCAGAATTTTTGGGAATTTCAATATTAAATTTTTTTGTTAAAACAACCTAAAAAATGAATAAATTATATAATTAAATAAATTATTGTTAATATTATATCATATTAATATAACATAAATATAAAACTTTATATTTGAATTCCAACTTACTCGACCAGTGCCAGAAACAGGTTTTAGAATATATTGATGTTCTGGTGGTATTCGTTGTTCAGACGCGATCTAGGAAAAATATTTTATAAATTTTATATTAATTGAAATCATTAAATATAATTAAGATAATATATTATTAATAAAATAACTAATAAATAAATAAATAAATAAGTAAATAAATAATGAATTATAATCTTTACCAAACTAGTGAACAATTCCACAGCCTCATTTATAGAATATCCAGACAATGATCTCGAATCCGTATTCCAATAAATAGCTAAAGACCCTAACGTGATTAACTAATATTATAAACCGAATAAGTAAAACAAATACGTAACAATAATAATAATGATAATAACAATAATTACAAATAATAATAACAATAATAATAATAATAATAATAATAATAAAATACTACTTACTTTCTTTATTTTATTAGTTTCACCTTCAATAAATGTTGGCTTCCAATTATCATCAGTTGATACTGCGGAAAATTCAGATAAAGTTAAGCCAACTGCAAATGGGTGCTATAAATTTATATTAAATAATTTATATTATTTAAACGATTTTATATTATTTAAATGATTTTATATTATTAAATGATTTATATTATATTAAATAATTAATTGCAACGAATGAACGAACGATAAATGAATTTAATTAAAGATAAATTTTCAATAATAATAAGAAGTCAGTAAATACCCCAGGATCACTCAATTTATCTTCATAACGAATGTGAATATTGTTGATAGAAATTTGCAAATTATCAACAATTTTTGTGACAAGTTGATTTATGAAAGATTGATTCTTCTGATCATTCTCTTATAATTTGAAAATTATATAATAAAATGTCAATATTATTCAATGATATAAAGAATATAAAGAATGTAAAGAATATTTAATAGATCAAATCAAAAAAAAAAAAAAAAAAAAAAGAAGACCTCCTGGCAAATCTGAACTCGTATGAAGTAGTTCATCATTTTCTAACTTTTCTTTTTTAAGCTGTTGAGCGCGCCTTTCTTCCTCTTGTGGATCATACTAATAAGAATTAATTATAATTCACCATTTCATTTAAATTATTTTAATTATTTTAATTATTTTTAATTATTTTAATTAAATTTTTGATATAAATTAATTAAAATATAAACCTCTGACTCGGCTTTAGGAACCGCTAGAAGGTAAACGTTATTAATAAAAACTTTAACAGGTTTGTTTTTTAAATCCGTCCAAGGAATATTGAGTGTAAGTTCCCCAAGATATCCTATAAGTAATCATCATATATTCATAATATTACATATATATATATATATTTATTTATTTATTAATTTTTATAATGATAATAATAATAATAATAATAATAATTTTTACACATAATTCACGAATTCACACCTTCTAATATTTCAATAGGTAAATTGAACTTATCAAGAGCCTCTTTCTTGAGTTGCAAGTTTCTTAATTTAACGTCACCTTTTTTAATATAAAATTATTAAAATTATTTAAAATTGTTAATTCTAAAAATTCTACGAATTCTATGAATTCTATGAATTCTACGCGATCAAACATGCCTGTCCATATTCCTATGTTAAGTTGATTATTTTCAAGATTCGAGACATAAGCTCCGAGGAAGCGATTTAATACATTAGCTACCAGTGACTCAAGCATTGTTATTATAAAATTATAAAAATTAAAAAAATTAAATATTTAAGAAAGAAATTAACGCCCTTTTTTTATATTTTTATATTTTTATAATACATATAATACATCAATAACATAACAATAAATTATATCATAATTATGCTTAAAATTATAATAATTATGGCGATGATCTTATGACATTTCTTTCATGTTGTACGATCTAAGTGCTTTATCAGCGGGGGTGTCACACGATCTTAATTTTTATGTAATCTTAATTTGTCTAATCAGTTATTTCTTGGTTATCAATAAAACAATTACATATCACATAATTATTTGGATAATTTTGTTAATTCTTATTTTACGGAATCTAATAATGGAGCAAAGAGAGCAAAGTTGATAATGAAAATCGATTCTAATGAGTTGATTTTTTTAGAAGTTACAAGTGAGGAATATGAAACAACTTCTAGTTTGAAAAAGATCACAACCTAAACTACCCTGATCTTTCATTATTATCTATAAATATGGAAAATGTTAAGAAATAATGTCTTGATTGATGAAAACGTTTCACCTTCGCCTCCTCAACTTTCTGTATTAATAGATAAAGAAGAGGAAGAAGAAGTATTGTCACAAGTTACCCCAGTTACAATTACTAATGTTCAGACAGAAATATCAAAGGTTCATATAAAGCGAGAAAATTAATCAAAGTCATCCTTTACGCGGAGTTTTACGATTTAAAATAACAGTTCAACAGATTTTAATAAGACGGAAAGAGATATTAAAAAACTTATATCACGTAAATACATTACATGGAACAACTGGTATTACAGTTGGAACTATAGGTCATCAAATATCTAACACAAATTGGAGACTGAGATCATGTCGGATCTTTTTTAACATATTAAAACAAAATAAACCTGTTACAGAATTAGCTTTTTGATTATTCAGTTAATGATATTTTAAATTATTCTCTCACACACATATATTATATATTATTAAGTGAATGAATGTAATCATGCTTTGGATATGTTGAATTCTAGAAATTCACTTATCGACCATTTGATGAAAATGTTAAAAAATGACAATTAGAATATCTATTAATTTATTATTATATCATATATTTAATGAAAAATCTTATTTCAGTTAGTCATTTTATTTTTAATATTTACATTTTTGAAATATTTATTAAACCAAAAATTCTTTTATCAATGATCTCGAAAATGACTCTACCATATTTTATTTTGCAAATATTAACTTATAAACTTCCTGTAAACAATCTTCGGGATATGTCTCTACATGTAGTACGTTCATTCATAAGTGTGTATTTATTATCCCATGGAAAGATAGTTCTATTAAAACATCATTTATTAACAAAATTAATAATAATAATTGATCTTTATTCTCTAAAATTAACATCCCTTATAAATTAACTATAAAAACATGTAATTTATAAATATACCATTTTACATGAAAACGAAATTAAAAAACAATTTTTAAATACTGGTAAAATATTAAAACTATTATCAAATATTTCACTTAATTATTCGGATTGTATTGTATGTACACAAGTAAGATTATCAATATGCAAAAAAAATATATTAGAAGCCATTATGGATTTTTTTAATACAAAAATATTATAAATGATGTCAAGTTCCTTTTCTCCTGATTTTTTTTTTTCAATATGAGAATTTAATTTTTCAATAATGTTCTTCTGATAACTCGAATGCTTGGCTTCATTTTTTGCATTTTGTAAATAACCAGTCATCATCAATTACTCCTTGGCTATTGTAAGAATTTGCAGCAGAATAACTCTTTCAACATAATTGAACTATACTTGTAAATTCATGATATTTGGGATTTGGAATTTTGGCAAAAAAATACTAATTATAATTTGAGATTTGGGATTTTTAACCAAAAAAGAAGAACCGAATAAATTCTTTTGATAAAAGTTACTATAGTGATATAAATGGTTTCTTTGATTTTTTTTTTTGGCATGGTTGATGAACGATAAACGAGGGATTTGGAGTTTGGAATTTGGCATTTTGGCATTTGGAATTTGAATTTGAGTAGCAAGGTATATTATAACCTAGAACAACCTATATAAAAATAAAAAAATAAAAAAACATCAGCACATCATGTCATCATTGCACCTGGGAACTAAAGACCTCGAAAAATCAATCCTAACAGGAGTGAACGAATCCAGGCTGTTAGAACTTTCAAAATCTCCAAAAACCTGCGAACAAACTTAAAGAAGGTGATTCTTCTGCTAGGAACCTAGTCACAGAAGTCCACTCCCTCCAGCATGACTTATGAATGTTCAACTTGCAAAACATAAAATACTTAGTGAGAAAGCACTCACCTTTTCAACTTTTTTATCATTTATTTGTTTTTATCTTTTGATTTGATAAAAATAAGCTTATTTATATCCTTTTGAGTCATCAAATTAAATCTTGATAATACAAAACAAGTAAATAATCTCTAAATCAAAAATAAAAATATTTCACATTAAATGTTAGTATTTAAAATGATTTGCAACTATAATTAATTTTAATACTTTACAGATTAGTCTCCGAAAATTTCTGTTATGAATAAGAATAAATTTGTATTTTGTAAACTGTGCACTACGCCAAGTCGAACATAATAGAAAAGAAGCAGAAAGACAAAGAAAAGAAACCTTAAACACGTTATAAAAACCAAATTAATCAATTAAAAATGTTCAGCCTATTACGATCATCTGTAAGATTTCTGTGTACACTATACTTGCACCCAAAATCATTTGAAGGCGGGACGTTTTCATCAATTAAGACACGTTCTTTTAACATTTTCCATCTTGATGGGTAATGAAGATCGGGGGCAGTTTTGGCTGCAATCTTTTTTCAAACCGGAAGTTGTTTTTCATATTCCCCCACTTTTAACTTCCAAAGGGTCCTTAAAAAAAAATTAACTCATTAGACTCAATTTTATTATCAACTTGCTCCCAGGACCATTATTAGATTCTGTAAAATGAGAATTAACAAAATTGGTAAAACTGATTTTCAACAAAAATATAATTTACCAAATTTTATTACAAGAAAAAATATTTCTTGAATATTCATACAAATGTTATTATTAAATTATCTCTAATTGCACACCGAACATAAAATGTATAACAAAGGTATCGTTTTTGATATACCTATGGTTGTTTTTTCATATATCAACACGATTACTTTTCGTTGGATAATAATACGTGCTCGGATCTTTTTTGCAGTCTCTCGGATACGATTGATCCTTCTGTTAGAGCGGTAAATTCAACCTAGATCAATGAGATTGTGTAGATGAATGCCCTAAATTAAGGAATCAATCTTCGGAAATATATGACAAACTTCGTAACCTCCAACTTCGGATTTCATTATTTTATGTCAATACAGCCTTTTCTAATTATTTTATAGACAAAGCGCTTGAAGATGGAGTTGCTGAAATTGGCAATAGGGTTTTGTGAGACAGGGAGAGGGAGGTTGAAGATATGCTTTTTCGTATAAATACAAATATAAATACAAGAACGATATATAATGTAATCAAAATACCCGATTGTATAATGAAAATTATTCTAAAAATATCAGATGTATTAGATGCCATTTGTTTTATTGATTAATTGATTGGATTGTATCGCGCTTTTGATTATTTAGTGTACGAAGAATCGATCGTGCTTTAATAACGAATTTATTTTTTTACATGAGCTCCATCTGTTTTTATAATTACGACTAAAACGTGATCTCTCCTTGTGGCTTTGCTTTTCGGGACTTATAATTTACAATTGTTATAATTGTTATGCATGTTATTAATTGATTCTTGTTATTAATTTATGATATTATAACTCTTTTATGTGTTAAATCTTGTAATAATTGTAATAATCACATGAAGAATAATATACAATGTACTGTGAATTGTTTTTTTTCATACTTGGCTCTAAGGCAAGGGGGGTGAATGGTAAAAATAATTTATGCGTACGCTTATAGTCCAATTCAGGCCATGAAATGTTTTATGTATTTAGGCTTTTATAAAGTATGTATTTTTCGGGCAATAATAGCATGTAAAAAATTACATGCGCAGATTTTCGTGTGAAAAATTTTTGGTGCCCCGATTTTGGAAGTAACGGTTCATTCAGTCATAAATATAGTTGATTCGGTATCTCTTTTAGAAATACAGTCTTGCAATAATTTCATTTATACTCTTAATTATGGGTAGTGGTGAAAGCAAAGGTCCCGTCAGACCAACTCCTGATTTTGTGTTTTCTGTTATTGCACCTTTGAATTTTAGCATACCCTTTTACTTATTTCTCCCATAATTTATTAAATTATTATGACGGTTCAAGACTTAATGCATCATATAATTCTCATGTGGTGAGAGCGGGAGTTGTTGAAAGAGATTTGCAAGGAAGTTTAAGAGGCTTACTAAAATATAATGACGATTTTAAGCATCAAGGTCTTCGCGTCTACACCGATGATAATAAGTCATTTCTGATTTCATAGCAATGATGCAGGTGGTAACCAGGTCATTACTGAAGCAAGACACATGTCCTCAAATACAACCGTTGGTGTCCTCATGGAGACTGCTAGAAAAGATGGAAATTCCAATTTAATATATAATAACTGTCAAGATACCGTTAATAAAGTACTAAATAATAGTTTTTATCCATCTAACCAAAGATGATTACAATGTCACCATATCTCGAAATCATATATTTTTCATTTCATATTTGTTAGAAGTGAACTTCACTTATTTTATATTTTATTATTCCTTTTAAGTAATATTTTTTATATTCAAGGTCAAGATCCTTTTTCATTCATTGGTAATAAATTACTTTTAACAAACCAAATTAGTGAATTGGCAAAAGTGTTCGACAAGTTTGATCGTACGGGGTTTATCATGTGATTTTCTTGATGATAAAAAATCGAAAGTGGCATAAAAACCACAAACAAAAAGCTTAATTCATTTATTTGAAATGCGACACGAGCTGGGCATGAATAAATTTTGTCCTGGGTTCACAATTCATATAATATTGAAAATAAAGTTAATGAAATTCATCATAAAACAAACAGGAATCACTGGTAAAACTGCAATAACTCAAAATATACAAAGAAATAAAAAAGAGCATTTACCTGTTATTACACCGGTTGCCTTGCGAATTAAAACTCTTAGAGTCAAGAAAATTCTTAAGTTATTTGTGGAAAATGGGATAAACTAAATAAAATTGAGATACACACGCTAATGAACTATGTACACAGACAAATCCGATAAATTTTCAAATTTTCAAATTTTGACCATGCAAAGCTCGCTGAAACTTTATTAATGATGTCTTAAATACATACTTTGTTTCTATTCCAATTAAATATTACTAAACTAATCTATTAATATTCGCCCATGATTTCGCAGACAGTCAATATATTCTTTGTTGTAGGCTTTTCTATCACGCCCCCAACTTGTTCATAAATTAATAATTATTGCTAACCATGTATCATATATCACGGGTGAGTTCACACGCGAAAAAAAAAAAATAAAATATCGACCAAGATTTTCTCAGATGATTTTAGAAAATTATCTGAATTATCATATTTGATTGATAAAAAAGATTATAAATTTATAAATTCATAAATCTATTAAATTAAATTATAAATATTTCTTTGTAACAAATCGAACTTTGGCATCAAATGAAGAAGAAGTAATCCGAGTATTGAGCTCATAAAATGGATTCATTAGAATCTTTATAGAAATATTAACAAAAAAAAAAAAGAAAAAGAAAATAAGTATTTTTAATTTTAATTGAGATCTGTTTTGAATTTTTATTCCAGATTAAAAAAAAAAAAGAAAAAAAATGGAAAATGCAAGAAAAAAAAATGAAAATAAAAATGAGGGAACATACCTTGATATAAAGTTCATAACATTCATTGAAAAAATTTCGGATACCATCTTCATTTTTTGATTCATGTAACAACATGAATTTAATATCTTTAAATTAAAAAATTTTTGAGAATAAAAAAAAAAAACTAGATTTTAACTAATATATTAATTAGATTAATTTAGAAAGGATACTTCCAGCTGTAGTGAATGCGGAAACAAGCCAGTCATTAAATTTATCTACAGATTTTAGGTACCTAAGTGTTTTTTTTTTTTTTAAAAAAAAGGAGAGAAAGAAAGAGGTGTTAAAAATTGTTAATAAGAATATAAATACTAATACAATACATACAATACATACATTGCGTTAGTACTCCATTGCATTTCTTCAACGAGATCTAATGCGGAATGTACAATAAATTGGTTCAAGTGTCTACTTTCATCTTTCTGTAAAGAAGCAAAAGCATTATTTATTAAAGTATTTACTTAATAAAGTATTATATATTAAAGTATTTTTATTAAAGTATTAAGAAAGAAAAAAAAAACCTTCAAATTAGAGTCGATATTGCCAGATTTTATACCCGAAGTACCAAATTCTAATTCATAAATTGGATTATCTTTAGTACCAACTATTACGAAATAATAAGACATTTGTGAAATAATAATATAATATAATTATAATAAGTACAAGTTCATCTCGAGCGCGTTTATGGAATTTGGATCAGGTCCCTAGTTTACATTTGATCACATGTGATCTCGATTGTAGAATCAAATATATTTTTTATATTATGTAATGTCTAACCCAATTGTCCAATTGTTTTTTTTTTAATTTTTTTTACTTTATAGATTAATGAAAATCATATAATGACTATTAATACGCTTCAACAATGTTTTATATGTGAAATTTGTAAAAAAAAAAATTATATAAAACAAATAAAAAGGATTAGATTGTCATCAAAAAATATAATGCATATTTATTTAACATTAATACAAATTGGAATATTATAAAGTTTCATTGGGTAATTAAAATTATTAGTTTGAAAGATTCCTATTCCATTTTTTATTCAAATACAGTAGCTAAAAATACGTTTACCCATTTTTAGAAATATTGTTATAATATTATTTTCTTTAAGTAGTAATGTCCCACACTTTTAAATCGTTTACATCTCCCTTGAAATTGTACTTCGCGCCACACCGTCGAAACAGACCTTAAAATTAATAAAATACAAGTATTCAACGTAATCAATAGATTGGAAAAATATATTTAAGCAATATATAATTTACCTTGAAGTCTTGAAGGATAAACTAAGTATTCTACCGACATCACTTACGTTCCTAGGTCTACCATTTTAAAGTTGAGAAATAATAATAATAGAAGAAAAGAAATAATTAAAAAACGAACTAGTAAGACGGCAAAGGATACTAATATTAATAGTGATATGTACCTAGCATTTTATTTTTCCACTCTAACCTACTGCAAGTAACAGAAAACATTCAGAGAAAGAAACTTAAAACGTTAGCAGCAAAGACTAAACAAACAAAGGAATAAATAATTATAAATTTTTTACGATTTTTATCTAGGATCACATGCAAAAAATTTTATTGGATGTCAACTATTCAAATCGTGTAACATTTAATTAGCCAGGGCTGTGCGACCCACGATAGTAGCGCATGATGAACGAAATGATCAACAAAGCATGTGCGCAACCCAAAGAGGAAGTTTAACCAGTTTAGCCAGTTTAACCAAGTATTTTAATTAATTTCTCTTTTTGCCTTTCATTTACTCAATCACTTTCAATCACCTCAGTTGACTCAATACATGCGCAACATAAAAAGTTTTCTTGCAAGCCTCAAAGTTGGTTGGTGAATTCTATGTTTAGTAAGTTCAGTAAGTTCAAGTAAGTTCAGTACAGAACATTCTAAACCTAAAACCTTAAAACATTGAATATTGTACAACATATGCAATAATCTACAATAATTTACAATATTTTACAATTCCCTGACTCTATAATTAAGGATTTATTTATTAATTATTAATTATTAATGAAAAAAAAAACAATTGAGAAAAGAGAGTTTTATTATATCACACCATTATATTATTATATTACATTTTTTATTATGGAAATTTTGAATACTCAAAATACTTTAACAAATCAAGTTATAAAAAAAAACTCCTTACTATAATTAGTTATTATAATAAGGTGATACAAAAATTTGTCTTTTGAACAAACAATGCATCATAATAATATAATAATATTGCATGCTTTTGGCTAAAGAAAACGTAATTCTAATCATCAAAAAAAAAACTTCTTTAGTTTCGTTAGTAAATTTTAGTGAAATTGTCATCATCATTATCACTGGTCTTTTTTTTTTTTTCAGAAAATAAATAATAATAAATAATAATAATAAACAAATATTGAATAAAAATAGTTTAACTCAGGTTTTTTTTTTTTGGTATGTCGCGCGAATTGCGACACTAATGGTGCAATAAACATTATTTATATTGTGATAGGATCGTGACCAAATATAATAATAAATAGAATAAATAAATAGTAAATCATTAAAATAATCATTGTACAATCGTAAAATTAACCTAAAATATCACATCAAAATCTTTTTTCAATTTTTTCTGGGAAATTCTTTTTTTGAATTTTATATATAGACTGAGAATTTTTTTTTTAAAAAAAAGGGTTTTTTTTAAAAGTAAAATAAATAAATAAAAATACCTTATCCTATCCTTCACACACTTATATATATATAGCAACTTTCTTCTTTACAATGAAAGAAATACAAAATATTAATTTCCGTTCTAGTGAAGATTCTAGTAACGGTTCTAATAACGGGTCCAATAACGGGTCCAATAAAAAACCCAAACCTAGCAATAATCATATTGTATCTGAATTCCCTCGAAAGTATTACTGTTACCGTCACAGGCCTGATCTTCAAAAGGCCAGAATGACAAACGAACCTACTATGGAGGAACTTTTAAAAGTTTGTGCATATGATATTATTATTTATTATTATTATTATTATTTTAAATCTTTTTTCCTATTAAATTGATTAAATTGTAATACATATATATTTATTTATTTATTTATTTATTTATATTTAATAGCGAACCGAAAGTCTTCCTCAAGATGAAAAAGAAAAGGTCCAAGCTATTTGGTCTCTTTTCGAAACTGTTTCCGGCGAGAGTCGTCTTATTACTTTGGAAGGAATTGTTTCAAAGTGCTGCCTTAATCAATTAGCTTTCTTATCTGATAATCTTAAAAGTATTATCAGAATTGATTTCATATCTGTACTCCCTCAAGAAATCGCATTTCACATTTTATCCTATCTAGATGCAATTTCATTATGTCATGCTGCACAAGTGAGTAAGCATTGGAATCGACTCTCCGACGATGATGTTGTATGGCATAAATTATGTGAACAACATATTGATAAAAAATGTACCAAATGTGGTTGGGGTCTTCCATCTTTATGGAATCAAAAAAAAAGACGGCGACAAACTTTGGCATCTCCCGTTCTAGCGACATGTGGTCCTACTCTTAATTTTCAACGATCACGTCCTCCATCAACCCCATCCTCTGCTTCTAACACTGCTCCCTCCACCCCGAGTACTTCGGGATATGATTCGCATGATTCACATGATGATATTCGTACATCTCAAAATGGACCTACTCACCAGAATCAATATATTCTTCCATGGAAGGAGATTTACTCCGAAAGACTTGTTTTAGAACGTAATTGGCGTAAAGGCCGTTATCAAGTTCGTGTATTGAGGGGACATACAGATGGAGTGATGTGTTGTCAATATGATGATTGTAATAATCAACTCATTACTGGATCATATGATAATACAGTTCGTGTATGGGATATAGAGACAAGTGAATGTATCCGGGTATTAGTGGGGCATACTCGATGTGTTCGAGCTTTACAGTTCGACGATTCAAAACTTATAACGGGTTCAATGGATAACACGTTAAAAATATGGAACCGTCACACAGGGAAGTGTGTTAAAACTCTTGCATGTCATACAGGCGGAGTAATTTGCCTTCACTTTGATGATCATATTTTGGTTAGTGGTTCGGCTGATTGTTCCATTAAGGTTTGGAACTTTAATACGTGTGAATGTTATACTTTAACAGGTCACACGGAATGGGTAAATCAGGTTGTGATCTTTCAAAAGACACAACTATTTTCGTGTTCGGATGACTTTACAATAAAGACATGGAATTTGGATTCAAGAACATGTACACGGACTCTTGTTGGACATAATGCACAAGTTCAGTGCATTCAACCAGCATTTTCATTATTATTTCCAAATTTAAATTTAAAAAATGGGGGTGGAAGTGGTGGAAGTGGTGGAAATGGTGATGTTGTACGTAAATGTGCTCAAAATCAAAGTGAATTGAATGATTGTAATAGGGAAAGTCATCCCGTAATAATTTCAGGATCATTAGATAATATAATTAAGATATGGTCAATTGAAACGGGAGAATGTCTCAAAACTTTATTTGGTCATGAAGATGGAATTTGGTCACTTGCAGTTGATAAATTACGACTGGTAAGTGGAGCTCATGACCACACGGTTAAGATTTGGGATAAAGATTGTTCTGGTGAATGTATGCACACTTTATATGGTCATAGTGGAGCAGTTAATTGTGTTGCTTTAGGTGATACCAAAATTATTTCTGGTAGTAATGATACAGAAATAAGAATTTGGGATTTTAAGTACCAACAAGACATATTATAATAATAATAATAATAATAATAACTGATAATAATTAGTCTTTTAATCTTATAATTTTTTTTTTTTTTTTTAAAAAAAAGCATTATTTTTTTATTTTTATTGTGTAGATTAGATACAAGGATGATTATTATATAATTATAATTTTAATTATTATTATATTGTAATTATTATTAATTCTTATTATTAATATTATTATAATTATTATAATTATTATTATTTTTATATAATTATTATTTTTTATTATATATAAAAGGATAAAAGGGGTTCTTTAGAAAAAATGACATATTTATATATTTTATTATATTACATAAACACTTTATTGTTTGTAAATATTTAATTTAATTATAATAATAATAATAACTTAAAATATATATATATATATATATATATATAATAAAAATATATCTTCAATTGATAGTTAGTTTTAAAAAGTTGTCATTTTTCATTTTTTCATTTTTTTACCCGAATCATCTTATCATGAATAATTAAATAGGCGGCATCAATTATTTTTTTATATATATTTATATATAGTAATAATAATAATCATATACGTAAAGTGTAAATTTGATGTGTTTAATGTGTTTAATGTGGAAGTTGTATCAATAAATACCTAGAAATATAATCGGTAGCACGTGATATTAAATAATGCAAGGTAAACAAAATAACTCGCAACACCAATCTTTTTTAACTCTCGATTTTAAACTCGCAAGAAAAAAAAAAAAAAAAAAAGTAAACATTTTAAACGAGTCAAAGTTAGATCTTTCAAATTTAGTAAATCTTAGGTTGTTAATAATGTCGCAACAAAAGAATCAGCAAAATTTATCACCACCTGCAAATTTGCCACAGATCACTAGTAGTAGTAGTAGTGGTAGTAATTCACAAATACAATCAAGTTCTGTTCAATCAATTCAAACACCTGTTTCTATAGGAATTAGACCAACTTCAGTAACTGTAAGAGGGGGAGCAAAGAAAAGAATGAGTGGAGGGGGTAAAAAAGCAGGTACAGGAACTCGACCTAAACCTATAACGACCGAAAAAAATGATGATACGATGTTAGCTCAGTCTTTAAGTAAAATAGCTAACGACTATTCTAAACAAGTTCAACAATTTGGACAAAATACTCCCGAAGGTCAAGCAGCTTATAAAAAGTATGTAGATACGATGCAGGCTTTAGAACAACATAAACGAAATAATCAACTCGGTAATATTACGTTTACTCCGGCAGTGAACAAACAGATTTCTTCACCTGCATCTACACCTTCACCTCACCAAATTCCTCGAATTATTTCTTCTACAATATCAACAGGTCCAACAACAACAACAACATCATCATCATCATCATTATCAACAACAACATCATCATCTTTAACATCTCAGCCACCGCCACCACCAACGTCAACATCACAAACCCATCATCATTCAGTACAACAACCACAAACCAACCAACAACAACAACAACAACAACAACAACAACATCATCAGCAACAACAACAACAAGTGAGAATTGTAATGCCACAAGAATATAATAATATACAAACCATTCAACAATTAAGAAATGAATTATATCGAGTTACAAATTTATTACAACAAGACAATTTAGTACCTACAATGAAAGCAGATTTAGTGAATAGAGCGAATATATTAAATCAATTATCTTCAAAATTTAATTCTACTAATTCAAATACTGGAACTATTCAACAACAACCACCACCACAACACATGTCACCTCAATCACCTTATAATTCACCTCGAGGTTATTTAGGTCCTTCAAGTCATATGCAAGATGGTTCTATGATAACATCTCCTACTATTCAACAACAACAACAACAACAACAACATCAACAACATCAACAACATCAACAACAAATGTTACATCCACAAACAATTCAATTACAACAACAACATCATCCTCAATCCCCAAATTCTCAATCTCCCTTGTCACATCAAATACAATCTTTACCACCACCATCATCTCCTCGTTCACAACAACAACCACCTCAATCTCCTTTGTCACATCAATTACAATCTTTACCACCATTATCTCCTCGTTCACAACCACCATCACAACCACCTCAAACCCAACCTCCTATTACTACTAATCCAAGTGGACTTCCTTCCCCTCGTCTTAATTTAATTAATTTAAATAAGACACCGGGAGTAAGAACTACTTTAATGCCTCATTTAATTCAAAATGTTAATACAAATTTACCAGAAACTCCAGTATCTTTGTCATTACCTGAATCCGATGATGGTGATAAACAACTTTTATCAAAACGTAAAATTCAACAATTGGTGGATCAAATCGATCCAAAAGAAAGATTAGAACCGGAAGTGGAAGAAGTAAGTTTTTCTAGGGTTCGTGTTCAAATTATAACTTTTTTACCCATTCTTTACCGTTTTTATTACCTTTTTTTTACCTCACATAATTTACAATGTTTTACTTAAATATGATTTTTTTTTTAAGAAAGAAAAAAAATTATATCATAATATATTTGATATTTGATATTTACTATTTTATGTTGAAATGATTAATATATTTTAAATATTTTAATAGATGTTATTGGAAATAGCAGATGAATTTATCTCTTCGGTTAGTTCATTCGCATGTCTTTTGGCTAAACATAGAAAATCTGATACTTTGGAAGTGAAAGATCTTCAACTTCATTTAGGTGGATAATCTATTTATCATATATATATATATATTATTTATTTTATTTATTCATCATAAATTTCATTAAATAATTAAAATTTATTTATTATTTTTAGAACGTAATTGGAATATTCGTATTCCTGGATTTGCTTCAGATGAAATTCGTTCAGTGAAAAAGGCAGTTGTTTCTAGTTCTCATCAACAAAAACTTTTGGCAGTGAATTCAGCAAAAGCCAATAAAGTGGCAACGACAGTAACTTCTACTTCACAATCATCTTTAGGAAATTGAAAAAAAAAAAAAAATAGATTTGCATTACGCGAAATACAACAAGAAATTCAAAAGGGGGTTTTTTTTTTTCTTTCATCCTCTCTCTTTTTCGAATTATTATTATTATTAAAAAATGGATGATGATGAATGATTGTTTATACTGTTTATTATATTTTAAATTTATATTAAATTTATATATGTATATATACATATATATATATATAACATCAAATGAAATTTTTGAATTTGATAATTGTAATAATAACAATAATAATAATAATAATAATAATAATAATTAATAATAATTACTTTGATAATAATTTTAATGTGAATTAATTAATTAATTTATTAATAGTACATTCTCGTCTCGATATTATTTTAACAAATCATTTTATAAATAACATAAATAAAATTATTTATTTACCGAACACTTTATCTATTTTAACTTTATTAACTGATTTCTTTGAAAGTTCTTTTTTCTCTCTTGATTTACATTACAACCAATTTTCTCTTTCATTTAGAAAGATGACTAATAATAATAATAATAATAATAATAATAATAATAATAATAATAATACCGAAAAACTAATTTTAAAGAATTGACTTCTATAAATAACATGTGAATCAATTTACTTTCTGCATATCTACCTTTTTTAACGAAAAACTTTAAAAAACTTTAAAACTTAAAAATAAGATTAAGGTTTAGATCCGAAGTTTAGATGTTTGTGTAACAAACTTTGATAAAATTATAAAAAGAAATTATTATTCATTCCATCTTCTTTTAATTGTTTCCACGAAATACCAATCATTACCAGTTTTTGATATAACTTTTCAATATGAATTGTTTGTCATTACCACGCGTTTTGAAAAGTTCCATTGGCTCGGCTACTAATTTTATTGGTAGTGGTAGTAGGCTATTGAGTCACGCTGGTTCTGCTGGTTTTGTTATTTCGCGGTCCAAGTTTCACTTACCTGACCTTCCATATGACTACAATGTAAAATATTAATTCATTGTTATTTATTATTTATTTATTTATTTCTTATTATTAGCTTAATTAAAAAAATTATTTGTTTTGATGAATTTTCCTGAATATATTTGAAAAAGAACAATACTATAAAAGATACTCGTAAAATATGTAAAATATGTAAATATGTAAAATGTTAATCTTTATTGTCTTTTTTAATAACATAAATAATAGGCTCTCGAACCAATTGTTTCAGCAGAGATAATGAAAGTTCATCATTCCAAACATCATCAAACATATGTTAATAATCTCAATGTAGCCGAAGAAAAATTTGAAAAAGCACTAAAAGATAATGACGTTAGGGAACAAATTGCACTTCAATCTGCATTAAAATTTAATGGAGGAGGTAAATTACAATTTTAGAATAAATATATTATATATCATATTATATATTAATTATATATCATATTATATATTATTAATATTATTATATATTATTATATATTAATATTATTATATATTATTATATATAAATATTATTATATATTATTATATATTATTTATATATTATATTATTAATATTATTATTTATTTTTAAGGGCATATCAATCATTCACTGTTTTGGATAAATCTTTCACCAATTAAAGAAGGTGGCGGAGAACCCCCCAAAGGTAAAGTAAAAAAATTTTGTAAATTATTAGAAATAGGAAATAATTACTATTTATGTACATTATATATATCTCTATTTCTAGGACAACTTCTTAGTGCTATTCAAAAAGAATTTGGTTCTCTTGAAGATTTCATTAGTAAATTTAATTCAAGTACTGTTGCCGTCCAAGGTAACTACTTATATAATATAAAATGCTTTTTCTTTGGGGAAAACTTGAATCAACGCAAATTATCTAACCAATATTGTAAAATTATAAATTGCTCAATCAATTTGAACTAAACTCAAAAAGGTTCAGGTTGGGGTTGGTTGGTGAGTTTTTAATGAATTAATGAATTTTAATGAATAATAAATTTTAAACCCATTTTTCCACATTTTATGATATGAATAGGGATACAATAAGACCAATAAACGTCTTGAAATTATTACACTTCCGAACCAAGATCCTTTAACTAGTATTTTTTTTTTTTTTATCTTTTATTTTTTATTGAAGTTATTAAGTTATTATTATTATTATTTATTATTTATTATGAGCGGATACATGGTTTGTGCTAATCATTTCTAATAATATTAGCTCACGCTCCTCTTCTTGGAATTGACGTTTGGGAACACGTAAGAATTTTCCTGATTTTCCCGATTTTCTTCTTAAAAAAAAAAATTCAAAGATTTTACTTATTTATTCTTATTCTATTAATAATTATATTTGATATTTTTTTTTGATAGGCTTATTATCTGCAATACAAACACGCCAGAGCTGATTATTTGAAAGCCATTTGGGAAGTTGTTAATTGGAAAATTGTAGCGGAAAGATTTGCCGAAGCTCAATAACTCAATAGAAATTTAGAACTATAAAAAACTTTGTTCTATTAAATAAGGTAAGAAAATATAATAGTATTTATCATTTAAAAGGAATATCTAACAATATTTCTAACAATAAATTGCTGATAAATTGTCAAGAAAGAAATTGTTAACTTATTGCTAACAATATATTTACAGTTACATTCTATTATTTTCATTTTAGATTAAAGATTATCTATTATATTTGTTTACTCTTAAAAGATTTATCTACTATATTTGGAAATTTGATAAACAAATTACATTACATACTGTATATCTCTTATTATATTTTAAATAAACATGAACATGTTTTAAAGAAATATCATCAAATTACTTATCTTTTAAGTATTAATAAATACATTATTGATATTATTCAATTTAAATTAAAAAAAAAAAATTTTTTTTTTTTTTTTTTTTTTTTTTTTTTTTATTTCCTATAAAACTAACCTTACCAAATTGGTTTCAAAATAAAAGAAAAATTATTTGGTACAATAAGAATTTATTAAACTGTATTATGACGAAATCTCTATGACGTGTTAATAAGTTTTATTGGGCATTGGAGTATTCGATAAAATAGGAAAAAATAGGCAAAAAAAAAAATAATCAAAACGTTTTTAATTTAAATTTATTTATCCAATTTAAATTTTGATTCTCCCGATTTCAAACTTAGGAGATGTAATACAATACTTTTAAATGATCGCGTGGTTATGCACGTTTTAATTCAATTTTAGAATATTTTTTTTTGTTAGAATCTAAAATTGAAAAATTCGGAGAATACGAATTAAGAAAGATAAACATTTATCCTTCTTTATAGTCGTGTAACAAATCAGTTTTGTGTTCAATTAGATTAATAATTATTCATCTCTAACATTGGAAAAACATTTGTATATAAACACATTTTGTTTTCTTCAAAATCCACATTTTAAAACTGCCTTTTCTTTTCACGGAAAAAAAATAAATAATAATATTATAATTCTGTATATTATTATTATTATTATTATAAAAAAATGTCACAGATATCATTACCTAATTCGTTGAACTCGTCAACATTGACGCCCCATAACCATATAAAAAATAAAAGACGATTAAAGGATTTAATAAAACTAAAAGAAATAATTATTCCACCTTCAACAAATTTAAAAATCAATTTGGTTGAACCGATACTTTTCATGCGAGGTATTTCAGAAGAATCTGCAGGTTGTTTTCTTAGAGGTGAATTGATTTTGAATTTATCAAAACCTACGAAAATTCAAAAAATCGAAATGAAATTCACTGGTAAAATGAAAACGTTTTGGCCAGAAGGAAAGATTTATCATGGTATGTATACAAGTATGATTCTTTGTCTACATCGCACAATTTAGATTAAGGATAAATTTAAATTAAATAAAAAATAGTATGTGACTCAAAATTTTTTTTTATATTAAATTTGATAGGTTCCTATTCTAATAATAATAATTTATGCGAAACTCGAAACATATTTTCCCATACTTGGAATTTCCTTGATGAAAATAATTTTGAAAATTCCAATAACTCCTCATCGCGTCTATCACGACGTTTCAGCAATATTCGTTCCACAAATTTTCAATTATTACCTTCTGGTACATTGTCTTACCCATTTGAACTTTTTGTACCCGGTTATCTCCCAGAAACCATTGAAGCCGAAAGAGGAAAAATTACCTATAAGCTTGTAGCAAATGTTGTAAAGCATGGACTTTCAATAAATCCAAGTGTTACCCGATATGTACCAATTATAAGAACTTTATTAGATGAAGAAATTTTGGAAGGAATAGTTTTATCTAAAAATTGGAATCATTGTTTAAATTATGATATTAATATACCAAAAAAAGCCTATTCTTTAGGTGATTCGATTGATATTGATTTAAAATTAACTCCTTTGGTAAGAAATTTACATATTATTAATGTAAAGATAAAATTAGCTCAGGAAGCTATATACGAAGAAGGTACCCAAAAATTTGAAGAATTAAAAATATTAAACTCTTTACAACTTGAAGATTATGGTGAAAAACGATTATTATTCACCATCGATAAAACTTCTCTCGATACTAACTCAAATACAAATACAAATACAAATACTAAAGATACAAATATAAACACTGATATCGAAGAAAATAATTTTTATTATCAAAAATATTTTAAATTTCCTATCCCGAAATGTACTTCATCTGTTCACTATTCATGTAAATCCCCTGCAATAATTATTTCTCATCAACTAAAATTTATCTTAAAGATAAATAAACCTCCAGAATTATCAATGAACAAAAATTTAAAAGGTAAAAAGAATCAAGTTAAAATAAAATTCGATGTCCCAATTCAATTACTTTCATGTAGATGTTCAATAACAGATGAATTACCAATTTATGAAGGGAACGAATATTATAGTAATAATGATACTCGACTTAATAATTTCATTATCGATAGTGTTATTGTTGATGATATCGTTGTTGGTAGAAGTAATAACAACAGCAATAATTTTGGTTGTGGTAGTGATGAGGGAAGAGAAAATTTAAATATAGAATCACCACCAAATTATTACGAATCTTAATTTTATATTTTATATTTTATCACTGTGTATTTTTTTTTTTTATTTACAAATAAAACTGTATATATGCGATGCGCTGTACACGTAATTACTTAAATAGAATCTATATTTCGAATCACTTCTAAATTTTTTTTTTAAATTATACTATAATTAGTTTGTTAAAAATAAAGATTCCCATAAATATCAAAGAATAAATCTCGAATGACTTCCCTCGTTGCTTGAGATAAATCAATCTCTTGAGGGTGAATATTCGAAGGAATTGTTTGAGATAAATCATTCCATTGAGGGTGACTATCCCCTGGAATCGGTCGAGATAAATCATTCTCTTGAGAGTAACTATTCGAAGGAATTGGTTCATTCTCTTGAGGGTAACTATTCGAAGGAATTGGTTCATTCTCTTGAGGGTAACTATTCGAAGGAATTGGTTGAGATAAATCATTCTGTTGAGTGTGACTATTCGCAAAAATTGGTTGATTCTCTTGAGGGTGATTATTCGCAGGAATTGGCTGAGATAAATCATTCTCTTGAGAGTAACTATTCGAAGGAATTGGTTCATTCTCTTGAGAGTAACAATTCGCAGAAATTGCTTGAGAACTGTTATTATCATCAGGAGTCTGAGTAAGATTTTCTATTTTTTAATTTTTTTTTTTTTAATTGTGGTGATAAAATAATCGATAAAAAAACAAAATAATGATTTATTTCTATTGAATAATGAATATGATGAATGTAAAATCAACTCACTACTAGGTTTACGTCCCCCCTTTTTTGGTGTACTGAAAGTGCATTCCGCTCCATTGCATAACATACATGTATTATTTTCGTGGGGAATGCATTTTTTTTTCTCTTTCTGCAACCTTCACATGCGCGTTTTGTATTATTTCCAGTTCTCATTTTTATCATTTTTAGAAGAATGGGAAGGAAAAATCGACAGGTATTTATGCTTTTAAATTGCCCGCACATAACTTAATAATTTATAGCTCATCAATTAATATATCCGCGTTATACTGCGCGTACCCCCGAATACTGTAAATCGTTGTCGGTGAGAAAAAAAAAGTAAAGTTGAAAAGTGCAATTTTTTATGTTAGTAGGCTTAAATATAACATGTCTAATTATAAATCAACGTTTTAGTTATTCAGATTGCTTATTTTCAGGATTTAAATTTTGTTTCATGTTGACAACGTTCACGATAATAAACCCATTTAAACAAGTCAAAAAAGATAATTAGAATCCAATTTAGTTTTGCCGTGATGTATAAGTAGCATAGATAGCATATATAGCATATTCTTAAGTAATAATTTTAATAAGAAATACGGAACAAATAATGAAGATTTTCGGATCATCTTTGTCGTGTCGGGATAATTCCTTAAAAATCCAGGTCCTATTTATAGATTAAAAATACCTTTCATGATATATATTTTGGGATACTAACTGAACTATTATAAATTTATAAAGAAGTTTAGAGGCAGTTATATATAATTAAAATATTATCATAGGTACTACAGTATAACTTATTTGTAAAAGAATTATAATTTAACAAATTAGCAATTATCATTGATTATTGTTACTTTTTTTTAATATGTAAATGTCAAAAATATTACAAATCAAGCTAACAATCCGGTAACTTACTATAAAGGCTTTTTGGCTTATTGCTTCAAAATTGGGAGAATAATAAATATTTTTAATTTTAAGTATTCAAAAAATTATTATTGAAATTTCTATTCTTTCAATTATTGCTCAATAAGTTTAAAATTTGTATAGTAGATACATTTGATTTATAGCTTTAAGTATACTCAGTATCACTTTCAAATAAATGATAATATAAATATTATAATGTAAAAAATGTTACTTATTTTTATTAAATTTTAGAAAAAAAAAATTTTTATGAAAACATTTGTATATTTTTGCTTCAAATCTTGTATAACATTTTTTGAGGTATTTGATCCCAAAATAGAATTTTAATTTTTCTTGTTTTTGTTTTTTATATATTTTTTTTTTCAATATATTTTTTATATATGGAAGTAGAATAAATTATCTATTTCATTAAAATTGAGAATAATAAATGTTTAAAGTTTAAATGGCTAAAAATTATCATTTTTTCAATTTGTAAATTTTTTAGTTTTGAAATTTTACAGTAGATACGATTTATTCCTATCTTAGTATTATTTTTGAGATTTAATATATAATTAAAAAATGCATTCCTCTGGAACTAACATTCGTATACATTTATAGAGAAAAATTTTAAAAGTGTTATTAAAAGATGGAATAAAAAGTAATATACTTATAAAGAGACACACATTACTAATGGTTTTGATTTTATGTTATGGTACAATTTTATATATAATTATAATTACAATATTACAGTCAGAATTAATTGCAACCAAAGTTATTAATTATAACAAATAATTGTAACTAGTCATAAGGTTATAACATAATTGCTAACTATAAAAATAGTTATGGCAAGTATTTTTATTCAATTACACAGAACAGTACTGGTTGAATAAACAAAATCAAATATATAAATTTTCATAAATAAGAATTTTATTTATAAAATTTAATAAATAAATTTTAAGTAGAATTCATTATAATTATTCATTTGACTTGCAAAATTATAAATTATTTAAATAAAATCTGAAATGACTATTTCAAATTTATTACTATATTTTTTTTAACAGCTTAGTTTATTGATTAAACTTTACATACCTACATACCTATAATAAAATTATAGTACCAATGCTAATAACTACTTATCTATTTAAATGATTACTCATCTTTAAGTGTAATCTTAGAAAATAATTTAGTACTATCTAAATGCCAGTAAACATCTTTATGTCTTAAATTATAAAGAAATAAAATTTACAACAATGTCTACTGTACTAATCTTGTTATTATTCCATTTTATTTTTATTTTTATCATGTCTTTATTATTTTCTGATACAAAGGAAAAGGAATAATTTTACTACTGTTTAGATTAATAATATTATGACAATTAATTTCAAAACAAATAATTTTTCACTTCAAATTTGCATTATAATAACATTATGAATTAATCTGCCATTTTAATTCTTTTTTTTTTATTTATTCTTGGATTTAGCACAGGTTACTGAAAAGGAATTTTGATTTTAGCTGATTTATAATATAAGCTACAATAGAACAGTTGATTTTTAACTAATCTATAATATAAAAAACTCTAATTTTTAATATTGGAATCATCATTTGGTACAGCAATTCTTTTGTATTTGACTAGTATAAATTTATATAACAATAAGATTTCATTATTCATATTACTACCAGAAACCATAAATTTATTTATTTTGTTTAAGCAATGTAGTAGAAAAAATTTATTAAGAATATTATCTTTTTTATAATACTTAAGTTTTAGAAATATAACTAAAATGAAAACTTAAAAGATAAACAAACACTTGGAAATGATAAGCAACTCTTTCAGATATCTTACAAATAATTACAAGTTTTAAATATTTTTTATTTTTTTATAATTATTTAATTTTTTCATTTAAAATATTTATAATATTTATAATATCTGTGATTCTTAAAAAATTGAATCTTAAAGAAATTTCATTTCTTTTAAAAACATTATTTCAATAATCTTTTAACATTTTAAATAACTAATATACCAAATATATATATATAAATATTGTATATAATATATAAATTACTAATTGAATTCAAAATTTGTATTATTAATTAACCATTTCATATTGTTAGTTAGCTTGTATTCTCATTGTTTAATTTGTATTGTTATATTGTTAATATTTAAGTTATCTTTAATAAAATATATACTTATGAAATAATATATTAAAAATTTTTAAATAATATTATTATAATTGATTTTGTTGAACTATTTTCAGATAGTAACTTCTTAAGGAATCTATTTTTAATAATATATAAAGTCTGAGGTAAAAGTTTTTGTCAATTCAAGTCTTATTCTAAATTTAACTAAATCTGTTTGTTTTTAATATTTTCATTAAATAAAATTTTTTTTAACATATGAAAAATTTAATTAATATAAATAATGTTAACTTTATTTCTTAATTCTTATATATATTATTTATTAACATTATTATAGTTAATAACATAGTTTATTAGTTAGATTTCTTTATTTGTATAACATTATATATTAGTACTATTATTTACAAGTAACAAATGTAGATTATTTTTATTGTAATGTAAGGTCGACATCTCTGATTGACACCTTTGGTTACTACCTCTGGTAAATACCTCTAACACAAATAACTCATTAGTCAAAATAGCTCATAGAATCTCCTGGAATGTTACAGAAATTTCTGGAGCTTTCTTGAGATTAGTAACTATAGTCTCGTGATAAGATACCAATTTTGTATAAATAGAAATAGCTTTTGCCCTTAGAGTTAAGACAGTTAGAACTTGAATACATTCTGAACTTGATATATGTAATAAATTATTAATAAAAGTCTTTGTGACAAATAATA